ATGGACTTGGCAATCCATGTGGCTGGAATGAGTGTCTGGGTGTGGATATTGGGAGTGCGGAGAAGTGGTGCCACGGAGGAAACAGGAGTCATGAAAACCCAAGGAAGCAGAGTCATATGGCACCCACGGACTGAACGGCCAGCACAGGAAAATAGGGCTGAATAATTGTCTGACCTCCCAGTTTGTTTTGACAGGAAAACTCAATGTGCCTTCCAGATGCTCCAGAAATGGGATGAGGGAGGATTTAATGGGATAAGCCGAGGGTTTAAACTTCAGCTCAGCCACGGACTGGTTCTTTGACCTCCGATCCTCAGCTGGGAGCGCGTGGATGGTGCTTTTGCAGCCTAAGGCCCTTCTCAACTGGAGACTGTGGTTCCTAAAGCTTCGCCCTTCTCCCTTTACTGGAACTCTATATTCTGGCCGTTTTTGTTGCATAGATCCTGAGTGAGGGATGCTTAACAAGGGAAAATGAAAGCCAGACGTTAGGGAGAAGGAAAACGAGAGTGGAGGACAGAGGGGAGATGGCCTGACCTTTATTTCTTACCGTATTTCAGGATGTTTTGCTCCTTTGACTGCAAGATGAGAAAAAGAGAAATGAAGTTTGGTGGTTTCAGAATGCTATCGTAAGCCATTACTTTTAATGGTAAAAACCACAATTACTTTTCCAATATTTGCGACATGTTTGATTTAGGATTTAGCAGTCTAAACCTCCAATAAACTGTTTACATACTTACTTCCAATTTCATGGATTCAAGAATTATACCAGTGCCTTCGCTGTGTAGTTATAACTTGTTAAATAATTTCTTTTACTCTTTAGTGTCTGAACCTCTTCGAGGATTGCAAGGCTTACCATGTACCTTTATATTTTACTAAATTAAGCTTTTTCTCCCTACTTCACCAAACTACTTTAACACCTCATGCCATAGGTTATAAAATAGATTGCCCCATAAAAAATACAGTTTCTCATTCAGAATGCATGAGATTTGTCTTCACAGATATTTTTGCCAAAGAAATGCAATCAAAAGAAGGGACATGATTATTCATTAGTCTATTATTACCCTCTTATTTTGTCTCCTGGCAGTGGCTAGGGAGCTTTAGCTCCCATCTCTATGTGGCTGATCTACATGTGCTGAATATCCCCACAGGAAATAGCAAGGCCACCTGATTGCCTCCCAGCATTCAGCATATGTGCCTTCTCTCCAGATGTGCAGTTTGGCTCTTGGTCCACCCTGAAGTGGGCCTGGGGTGCTCTTCCCTCAGATGTGATACTAACTTTGAGTTCCCAGTCAGCCTCTGCGAGTCTGAGCATTTGAAAGTGTGAGAAAGGGTGAGTTGGCTGACTTGGAGCTATTCAAACTTGGAGTTTCTTTGGGCTCAAGTCTAGTTTGGGATTTATCTCCTCCAAAATGGCCAATCAGTACCTTAAAGTATCACTCATTCATGCCACTCTCTGCCTTAGGTCCTTCCATCATAGAATCATAGGATCAGAGAATTTTAGAGTTAGGAGGAGCCTTAGAGATGTGATTAAACTCTCTACAAAGGGACCCCTACTATTATATCTCAGGGTCTGTATATTCTAAATATTTTTTTGGTTTTCTTCTGGTATGGGAAACTTTGATCTTGGAAAAGTTGGAAATTTTGCACTGCCTGCTGACTTCCTGCACCAAATCCAAACTTCAAGATGTTACAAAAGAGACAGGGAAGTTGAACCATCAAAAGACCAAGAGTCATAGAAAATTAGCAGTTAATAAAGAGTGACTTCCCCCAAGTAACTACAGGGCTGGAAGAAAGGATGGGAGTAGTAGAGCCTAGATTATAACACTGGAACTTTTCTTTGCTGAGAGGCTGCCATCTTCTATCTCCATCTTATCTGGAGGAATACAAACTTTCACCTTGTTTCCAGGCATATATTACTTGCCAAGGGAATTAAAAAGACGCTTACATATGAAAAAAATTATTCATTTCAGAAGCGTGAACAATAAAAAAAGACAGACTAATCATAGTTACTTATACCAAAACAGCATAAATAATGCAAAAGACAAATAAGAATGTGAAGTGAAAATAGTGAGACATACTGTGTTGGGGCAAGTGAGGCAATATTATCTGGTATCTAAAGGATAGCAATTTGGTAGTGTCCAGAAACACTTAAAGTAAATATGCTTTTGACTCTGCAATTCCACCTTTACAAAATTAAGCTATTGCCACTATTTTGGAGCCAAGACATGCAAAGTGGGAATTTGAGCTGAAGAAAGAATGGAAGCAGAGCTAAACCAAGAGATGTGGGCATGAATGGCTACCTGGGATATCTCCTCTGGGCTCTAGTGTTCATAAGCAAAACTCAACTGAGCTTTATTGGATTGAGGCCAGCTTAATCTTACTCTCTGAAAATACACCCAACCTGAAGAAGGATGTGTACACAGCTCTGAACATTTACTGGCTCCTGAATTCACAAGTCTCTCAGTAAGGCCTCCTCTTTATCTTTGAATTCTTATGATCTCCTATATTTAAAGAACATCAGTGAAAATATGAAATAAGGAGATCTTAAAATTCTCTTCTTCATGGAAAACTTGTATTAATGGATTGTAAGACAATGTTAAGATGGTAATACTCCATAAATTTATCTACATGTTCAATGAAATCTTTATCAAAATCCAAATGCCATTTTTTCTTTGCAGAAATTGACAAGATGATCCTAAAACACATATAGAAATGCACAGGGCTCAGAATACCCTAAACAACCTTGTAAAAGAACATAGTTGAAGGACTCACACTTCCCAACTTCAAAATTTTCAAAAAGATAGCATAATCAAGACTATGTGATACTGGTATAAGGATAGAAATATAGATAAATAGAATACAATTGAGTGTCTAAAAGTAAACTTATACACTCACAGTAATTTTTTTTTATGAGGGTGTGAAGACAATTCAACGGTGAAAGAAAAGTCTTTTCAACAAATGGTACTAGGACAACTGTAACTGTACTTCAACGTACGAAAGAGTGAAATTATATTCCTACCTCACACCACACACAAAAACAACTTAAAATGGGTTAAAGAACTAAATACAAGGCGAAAGTATAAAATGCTTATACGAAAACATACAAGTAAGCCCTCATGACTATGAAGTAGGCAATGGTGTTTTAGATCACTTAAAATTTAAAATCACTTGTGCTTCAAAGGACATATTTGAAAAGTGAAAATACAGCCCACAGAATGGCAGGAGTATATTGGCAAGTCATATATTTGCTAAGCATCTAGTATTCTAGCTTCTAGAATATATGAAGAATTTTTATATCACAGCAATAAAAGACAAATAACTCAGTCAAAAAGAGTGAAGCATTTAAATAAATGTTTCACCGAATAAGACATACAAATGGCCATTAAGTACTTGAAAGGATAACATTCTTCATTAGGTCAATGCAAATGAAAACCATATACCCACAAGAATGGCTATAATAATGAAATGGAAAATAAGTGTTGATGGAAATCTGGAGACATTAGAACCTTTATATATTGCTGCTGGGAATGTAAAATAGTACAGTCACTTTGAAAAACAATTTTGGCAGTTTTTTAGAATGCTAAACGTAGAGTTATGATAAGACCAAATATTTAACTCCTAAGTACCTACTCCAGATAAATAAAAATGTATGTTCACACCAGCATGTACATAAGAGTTCATAGCAGTATTATTTGTAATACTGTTTATATTATAAATATAATTGTAGCAGTATATTATTATTTATAATACTGCTGTGAAACCTATGTACATGCTGGTGTGAATACCAAAATGTAGAAACAACCCAAATGTTCATCAACTGACAATTAATGTTTTAAATATCATATATATATAAAATGTTTTAAATTTTATATATATATATATATATATATATATATATATATATATATATATATCGCCAAACAATAGAATAGTACTCAGCCATAAAAAAGAATTAAGGGCTGATACATACTATAACATGGATGAACCTTGAAAACATATTAAATGAAAGAAGCCAAACATAAAGGCCACATATTATATTATGCTGTTTATATGAAATGTCCAGAATAGGCAAACCCATAGAGAAAGAAAGCAGATCAGTGCTAGGACCTATAGAAGGGAGGAGTGGGGAATGACTGCTCTGGGCTTAGGGTTTCTTTTTGTGGTGATAAAAATGTTGTTTCCTCTGAACTGTGGGTTTAACCTAAATTATTTATAGGGTCTTTTCCACATTTAGCTTCCAATGATTCTATCAATCTTCCTGAATGAATGGCAATTTCAAGAGAATTCTAAAAGTCAGCCCTTATGCCTTTGGTATCTCTTTGAAGGCAGATCTATTTTTTTGAGTATTCATCATTTTAATCTATTTTTATTTTTATGAAGAACAAACTCTAATTTTGTTAAATTTCTGAGATTTAAATTTCCCATGAAGGGTTCCAATTGATTGTGAAATGTGGAAAAACCAAACTTAAAGTAGTCTGTCAAATTGGGTGTAATTGTAAGTGAGGAAGTAGTTTTCACAAGGGCTCAGTGAAGGAAGAGACATGTTGCCTTTTAAAGCCAAATTATGAACATATACGATAATGACATAACAATGAAAGGTAGAGAATAGTGACTACATAAATTTTGTGGGGACACTGATTTTGTATAAAGTTTATGACAGCGTTTAATAGGTTGGGTGATGTAATTACCTTGTCTGGGTTAGTACTGTGGATCTACCTTTTACCAAACCACTTGATGCTTCAATTTCCTTATCTGTCACATAAGTATAATAATTGTACCTCCCTATAAGATTGTTGTGAGGATTAAACTAGATGACACTTGTAAAGCACATTAGCATTAATATTTTCAACAAATACTCCAAATGCTTGATAAATGTTATAAACACACTTGACACTGGTTGACAAATACTTGTTTAAAGTGTATCATGCTCTAATACAACTGTTTTGAGAGTCGTTTATTGGTACAAAATAAAATTTTTCATATTGCAAATATTTTTTTTTCAGAACAAAAGTAAAAATATTCACTAACAAAATGAAGATCCTGCTAATTATATTTGTCCTAATCCTTTGGACTGAAACATTGGCAGACCAGAGCCCAGGTACCAGTATATTATTATTTAGGAAATGTTTTATATCTCAGTAAATGTTATTTTAATAAACAGAGAGAAACAATTTATTTACTAAAAATCTAGTATACAGCATTTAGTAATTGTTACACAATATCAAACAAACTTAATTTCTCAAAGACAGCACAAAACCATGAGCAAAAGTCATGTTATGTTGCACCTGGCTAGAAAAACTTTAATTATCTATTGATTTTCTTCAATCTCAGCATTACATGTCTGTATGGATTGAGTCAGTCCATTTGTTTATAGACCAGTTTTGATCTTAATAAGCGAAAGAAAAGGAACCCCACACAGAAAACAAATTCTGAGTATTTCTGTGACTAAACCATTGCCTTCCTTTCCTTTTACAAGCATGAAATATATAGTTACACATATGTGCACACACACACAGTCATACGTCACTTAACAATGGGTGTACTTTCTGAGAAATGCATCATTAGGCAATTTTGTCACTGTGTAAACATCACAGAGTGTACTTACACCTAGATGGTGTAGCCTGTTACACACCTATGGTATATGGTACAGCCTATTGCTCCTAGGCTGCAAACCTGTACTGTATGTTACTGTGCTGAATATTGTAGGCAAGTGTAACGCAATGGTAAGAATTTGTATATCTAAACACAGAAAAGGTAACACCTTGCACTACCACATTATGACAGCTATGATGTCATTAGGTGATAAGAATTTTTCAGCTCTATTATAATCTTTTTTTTTTTTTGAGATAGAGTCTCACTGTGTCACTCAAGCTAGAGTGCAGTGATACAATCTCGGCTCACTGCAACCTCTACCTCCTGGGCTCAAGCAATCCTTCTGCCTCAACCTTACAAGTAGCTGGGACTACAGGTGCAAATCACCACACCTGGCTGATTTTTATGTTTTGGAGAGACAGGGTTTCATCATCTTGTCCAGGCTAGTCCCAAAAATTGCTGTTAGTCCACAGACTACTTTGGCCCATACTTACATAGCTATGAAGAAATACCCGAGACTAGGTAATTTACAAAGGAAAGAGGTTTAATTGTATCACAGCTCCTTATGGCTGGGTAGGCCTCAGGAAACTTACAATCATGGTGGAAGTGGAAGCAAACATGTCCTTCTTCACATGGTAGCAGGAGAGAGAAGCACCAAGCAAAAGGGGAAAAGCCCCTTATAAAACTATCAGATCCCATGAGAACTCACTCACTATCATGAGAACAGCATGGGGGTAACCACCTCCATGATTCAATTACCTCCTACCATGTCCCTCCATGAAAAAACATGGGGATTATGGGAGCTACAATTCACGATGAGATTTGGATAGGAACACAGTCAAACCAGTCCAGTCAGGGACTTTCTGTGTTTGTACAATATCAGAGTTTGGGGTCCCAGAACTAAAAAAGAAAAGAAGTTTATTATCTCTAGTATAGAGTTGGGGAAGGAAAACCTGTTGGCTAACTTTGCTACAGCCTTTTTGTATGACATTTTAGCAAAGGCAATTATAGTTTCTTCTGTTTGACCTTCAGAAGACACTTTTCTTGGGATATATCCTTAACACTAGGACATAGTCTCAAATATGTATTGTGGCCTAAAATGTAAAGGCTGAATGATAACTTTGTTTTTGCTTGTTGTTATTTTATTTTGATAGAGCCAGGCCCTGAGTATGCAGATGTTGTGTTTCTGGTGGACAGCTCTGATCACCTGGGAACTAAGTCATTTCCATTTGTGAAGACATTTATTAACAAGATGATCAACAGTCTCCCCATAGGGGCTGACAAATACCGTGTGGCCCTGGCCCAATACAGTGACAAGCTTCACAGTGAATTCCACCTGAGCACCTTCAAAGACAGGAACCCCATGCTGAACCACCTCAAGAAGAACTTTCAGTTCATTGGTGGGTCCCTGCAGATAGGAAAGGCGCTTCAGGAGGCTCACAGGACCTATTTCTCTGCACCCAGAAATGGGAGAGACAGGAAACAGTTTCCCCCAGTTTTGGTGGTCCTGGCTTCGGCGGAATCTGAGGATGATGTGGAAGAGGCTTCAAAAGCTCTGCAGAAAGATGGGGTGAAAATCATCTCCGTGGGGGTGCAGGAAGCTTCTGAGGAAAACCTGAAGGCCATGGCCACATCCCATTTCTATTTCAACCTTCGGACAGTCAGAGACCTCAGCACATTCTCCCAGAACATGATACAGATCATCAAGGAGGTAACAAAGTACAAGGAGGGAGCAGTCGATGCTGATATACAAGGTAAGGAAGCTTTTGGTTGAAGAGGTGCTTGATCCTCAAGTGGGTATGCATCTGTCCACCCTTACCTCTTGCAACTCCTGTTAGGTTTTCATGATTAGCCATGTTGAAGTATTGGAAACTTCTACACATCATACCTTACTCGCTTCTGTCTTTGCTTGTGCCATTCCTCTGCCAAGAGGTCTATCTTACTGCACTCCTTTGCTTTCTTATAGCTTGAATAACTCCTGTTGTCATATAAATCTCATCCCTATATTCTTTTCCTGTTGGAATATTTTCCTTCCCATTTCTTTCTGAGTTTCAGTTCCTTGAGCACAGCTTATGACGGCAGCACTTACCGTAACTATCCATTTCTGCATTTATCCTTCTTCCCTTCTCCACCACCAGCAAGGAAGAAACAGGTGGCATATGAGGGCAGGATTGACAACTTATCTCTCTATCCTTTGTGCCTAGCACAGTGCCTGACAATGAGCTGTTGTTCTATTTCTTGATGAATTAATACATGAGGATCTTACAGATAAGGAAATGGGATCATTGTCTACTCTCTTTCCTTCACAGTCTTGTTACAGTATGAGGCTCATAATAAATATTTAATAAATGCTTGTGAACTCATATATAGGGATACTTGGTGAGAATGATAACCTTAGAATGAGATACCATTAGCACATGTTCATGTTTTCTGTTTAACCAGTAAGAATAGGGGATGTCCTCAGTGGTGCAGTAATGCAGTACAGTGGACTGCAGTCTTGAGCCCTGCATCTACTGTGTTGGCTCATTTTGGACTTTTAGATATTAAGAGCAAGGGCTTTAGAGTCAGGAAGGTCTGAGTTCAAACCCTGGCTTGGCCACTTAGGACACTGAGTCCCTTACTTAACCCTGAGCATCAGTTTTCTTACCTTAAAGTGAGGATAATAGTTTCTACCTTATAATATGAGTGAGGTGACTTGTGTGGCATTTGGCACACTGTTTACTATTAACAGTAACAACTATTTGCAAATAAATACTTATCTGAGAAGGTCATGCTTGGAGTTTGTTTTAGCTAACTGTGGGGGATTCAGAGTAGATTTGGTAGATTTATAAGAATTATTTTTAATTCCATAAATATTTTTGAGCTCTCCCCCGGGCACCAGGTACTGTAGGGATAGTGATAAGTGAGACATGCTTTCTGTCTTCTAAGAACTCACAGATGAGTAGTTCTTGGCAAGGCTGAGCTTATCTCTTGACTATACTTTACACAGCTGCAGTTCATCCACCTATTCTTGACTCTATGTTTTATGTGAATATGGTATACTTTTCTTTTAGATTCCAGATTTGTATAACTACCTGCTTACCTGGCATCTCCTCTTCAATACTCAATAGTTTCTCAAACTTACCATGTCTGAAACAGAACATGAATGTAACTTGTTTCCCCCTGTAACTTGTTTTTCCCACTATCTTCCCTGTCTTGAAAAAGGACACCACCACCATTCACTCAGTTGTTCAGCCCAAAAACCCAGGAGTTTTCACCACTTCCTCCTTTGTTCTCACATCCGATTTGTTAATCTAGTTTTCTGTTCTACCTCTAAGTCATATCAAAACTATCTTTGTCGTTCCATCTTAGCTGCTATTATACTTGTCCAAGAATCATTATCTCTTTCCTGGACTAGGGCCATTGTTTCTTAATTATCATCCCTGAATTCATTATTTGCTCTCAGCAACTGGAATGATATTTAAAATATTTAAGTAAGTTCATATAACTCTCAAAAGATGTGGGCCCTGCTTCCCTGTGACCTCATCTGTCAATGTTTCCTCTCACTCATGGGCTCCAACCACTCTGGACTTCTTGCTTTTTCCCACCTCTTGCTGTTCTATCTGCCAGAATTCCTCTTCCTTCAGAACTCCACATGGCGGAATTCTTCTCTTTATTCATTTCCTAACCCATATGTGATCCTTTCAGAGAGGCCTTTCCTGATTTCTTCATGTCTGAAGTAAGTTAACCCTCCCTTAGCCACAGGGTAGTCCCTCAGTCAAGTCACCTGTTTTATTTCCTTGCTAGCACTTATTACTGTGTGAAATAACACAATCTAGTTATCTGCCCTCCCCAGAGAATATCAACTTCCTGTGGTTAGAGATATTTCTGCTGGTTCATCCTTGCATCCTAGTTCTTGAGAGTGCTGGTGGCAGTGGTAAAGGTAGCAGTGATCTTGGACATGGTGGTTCCTTCACTTCACTGGTTTTGAAGGTGGTGGTGGTGGAGATGGAACTGATGGCAGTGGTGGTGGCGATCATACCAGTGGTGATGGTGGTTATGGAGATGATAGTGGTGGTGTACATGGGATGTGGTAGGAGAACTGGTCAGAAGCATTCTTCAGACAGAGGGAGCAGCATATGCAATGCTTGTGAAGTCAATGACCTTGGAAGTCTTCTTTAGAATTTTGATCTTTTGTTCACTAAAAGAAAACAATGCTGTCTACATCCATCATGACTACCTCTATCCTAACTAACTTGCTTGACAATGTATAAAGTACCTTTCTATCTCTGGGCCAGTGGTTTATACTAATCCTCACACTTTTTCTCTCTTTATAGTTCCCTTCCCCATATCCTGTCAGAAAGATTCGCTTGCTGACCTCGTGTTCCTGGTGGATGAGTCACTTGGGACCAGACAAAATTTAAGGCATCTTCAGGCCTTCCTGGAGAACATTACCAGCTCCATGGATGTGAAGGAAAATTGTATGCGACTTGGACTGATGAGTTACAGCAATAGTGCCAAGACTATTTCTTTTCTTAAATCAAGCACATCCCAGTCTGAATTTCAGCAGCAAATCAAGAAGCTTTCCATCCAGGTTGGGAAATCCAATGCAGGGGCTGCCATTGAGCAGATGAGAAGAGAAGGCTTCTCAGAGTCACATGGCAGCAGAAGGGCACAGGGAGTGCCTCAGATTGCAGTCCTGGTCACCCACAGACCATCAGATGATGAGGTGCATGATGCTGCGCTGAACCTTCGGCTGGAGGATGTAACCGTGTTTGCCTTGAGCATTCAAGGGGCTAACAATACCCAGTTAGAAGAAATAGTGTCTTACCCTCCAGAACAGACAATTTCTATGCTGAAGTCCTATGCAGACTTAGAAACTTACAGTACAAAGTTCCTTAAAAAGCTCCAGAGTGAAGTATGGTCCCAAATTTCTACTTATGCTGAAGAAAGGAATCTTGATAAAACTGGTATGTTTTTAAAAATACTTTTCTTATTATAAAAATAATACAAGTGGTTACCTAGGACCAGAGTGGGAGTGAGGATTGACTGTAATTGGATCAAGAAACTTTCAGGAGTTGTAGGAATGTTCTAAAGCTGGATTTTAGTGATTGTTGTACAACTTCAAACATTTACCAAAAATCATTGAACAATACACTTACAATAGATCAATTTTATAACATGTAAATCATACCTCAATAAAATGTGAAATATATATGTTAATTATAAAATATTATAGAGGCCAGGTGCAGTGGCTAACGCCTGTATTCCCAGCACTTTGGGAGGCTGAGGTGGGCGGATCATGAGGTCAAGAGATTGAGACCATCCTGGCTGACATGTTGAAACCCTGCCTCTACTAAAAAAAAAAATACAAAAATTAACTGGGTGTGGTGGCGTACCTATAGTCCCAGCTACTTGGGAGGCAGAATTGCTTGAACCCAGGAGGCAGAGGTTGCAGTGAGCCGAGGTCATGCCACTGCACTCCAGCCTGGCACCTGGTTACAGAGCACAACTCTGTCTCAAAGAAAAAAAAAAATTGTATGGCTGTTGTATGACATACAGAATAAAATAGAATCACCTGTAATTCTATCTTCAGATAAAACCATTAACATTTTTTCTGTTGTCCTTTAGTCTCCTCTCTCTCTCTCTTTCTCTCTCCCTTCTTCCATGTCTCCACCCCCCTCTCTCTCTCTCTGTCTTCCTTCCACTCATGCACATACAGAGAAACACACACAGAGTTTTAAAAAATGCTATCACATTGTATATATCAGTGCTGTCCAACAGCGCTTCATGTAACGCTGGAAAGCTTTATCTGCACTGTCCACTAGGTCAGCCACCAGCCACATGTGGCCACCGGCACTTGAAATTTGTCTAGTGTGATGGAGGTAAATAGACTACTATGAAAGCGAAAGTCGTTTTTCATAGATTCAGCTTAACAAAGGAAGTAACATCAAGAAGTCTTTTATTTAAAAAAAAAAAAATTTGAACTCCTATGATGTGCCAGGCCTACTGGGCAGCAACAGAAGTAAACAAAGTGTTTGTCATTATGGATTACACTCTGTAGTAAGAAACAGGCCATGCTCATTAACAAATGAATAAACTAACTTCAGTAAGTAACATATAGAAAATAAACATTGTAAGAAAATAGGCAATGACAGGTGTGCTTTAGATAGGGGGAAGAGAAGATATGACTTGATACATCCATGATGAGAAGGAAGCATCCATGTGGATATTTGGGGGAAAGAATATTTCAAGAAGAGAAGAGGGCATGTGCAAAGACCCAGGGATACATTCTAAGAACAGAATGAAGCCCAGTGTGGTTGGAGTACAGTAAGTGAGATGAAGAATTGTTGGAAATAGGGTCAGAGAGAAAAGCAGGAGACAAGATAAGGCCAATTTTAGTTTTTAAGTTCCAAATGCAGTGATAGATCATTTAAGTGGAAGAACAATGGGATCTAAGTTTAGCTTTAAATATCTTGTTCTAGTTGCTTTGGGAAGAAGATATTATTGGGGAAATAAGGTCATCAATCCCTTGCCTTTTCTCAAGAAATGATAGGACATAAACTGTCTAAGAAGGCAGGTGTCAATGCTAGAAAAACGATTTAACTTAGAGGCTGGAGTCTTGGGAATTTGGTCTTTATTCTTTAATTTACTGATTATGTGACCTTACACACAAACCACTACATCTTGCTATGTTTCAATTTCCTCACAAGGTTGTTGTAAGTTTCAAATGAGAAAATGGGCATGAATGTGCTTAATAAAGCGTGCACGCTCTATGCAGAAACCAAGTATTTGTTCTTTAGAAACACCTCAGCCTCCTGTTCCTTCACAAACCCTCTGGCAAAGTTCTCTCTAGGTTCTCTTTAATTTACAGAGAATGTACTTTTTTTTTTTTTCAGGCTGTGTGGATACAAAAGAGGCTGACATCCATTTCCTCATTGATGGCTCAACCAGCATCCGGGAGGAACAGTTTGAGCAAATCAAGAAATTTATGTTGGAAGTGACAGAAATGTTTAGCATTGGCCCAGACAAAGTCCGAGTTGCGGTTGTGCAGTTTTCAGACAAGATGCGAGTGGAATTTAGTATCACTGACTATTCTAATGACATTGACTTAAGAAAGGCTATTTTAAACATTCAGCAACTAACAGGTGACACTCATACTGGAAAAGCTCTGGATTTCATACTGCCAAGAATAAAAAATGGAATGAAGGATAGAATGAGCCAGGTTCCCTGTTACCTCATTGTGTTGACTGATGGGAAGTCCCAGTACAGCGTCGTGGAACCTGCTAAGAGAGTAAGGGCTGAGCAAATCATCGTTCACGCAATTGGCATTGGGGAAGCTAATAAAAAAGAGCTGCAAGAAATTGCTGGGAAAGAAGAAAGGGTTAGCTTTGGGCAGAACTTCGATGCTTTGAAAAGTATAAAAAATGAAGTTATTCGTGGAATCTGCACTGAAAAAGGTAAGCAAAACAAAAAAGGCTTTATTCTCCACATTTCATCAATTGCTTTAGGCAGATTCGTGGCCAGGCTGAGACAAGCCCTGATGTGACTAGTTGTCTGGATAACATTTTGCTAACTTCCTTTGTCACCATGGAGAGATTCAGCCCCTCAATTTTAAACCAAATGCCAAGACTGGAGAATCTCTCTAAACAGTTGCCCCAAAGCCGTCTTGGAAGTCTTAAGTGGGAAGGTTGCTAAGAATGTTGAGGCCTTGACAAAGCCCACTGCTGTGGAGTGAAAAAGATTCTATTCTACATGTGAGTGTGTGTGTGTGTGTGTGTGTGTGTGTGTGTGCGCGCACGCGCACACGCGTGCACATGTATACGCAGATGAGTACAGGGGAAATACAGTGTTTGTGTGTGCACAGGTGGGCACAGTGGTAGGAAAATGGGCTTTGGCTTCAGATGGCTTAGGGTCTGACTCACATACTTCCACTTGAGCCTGGAGCACTGTCATTTATAAAACAAGGATAATACCTACATCAGAGAATCCTTATAGGATGAGCACCATAAATGCCAACCATCATTTTTATATTAAATACATATCAAGCATATATGTAATAATTGTTCATTTTTATTTATAACAAAAGCATGTTTGCATTTTTGTTCTAATTAGAGATTAAGTACCACAAGTTAGGAGAAACAATCTGCAAATTTCCATATCTGATTGTTTGTTATTTCTCTTATTGATAGTGGCCACTTACACCACTTACTAGTTCAAGATGGTATGCGTTGACCACCAGTATTAACACAGGAATACTGCCCACTGAGAACCACGTTAGTTCTCTGGTAAAGAAGAAAGATGCTAGAGTCAGAGTCAAGGTTCACACACTAGCTTTACCACTGATTAGCCATGACCTTGAATAAGTTACTATTTGCCTTGGCTTCCTTGTTTGTAGGCTTATTATGAAGCCTAATGGTGATAACCCATGTGGAGCAGTTAGAGGTATGCCTGGAACACAGTAAGCAGCTACGTAAAAGTTCGCTGTTGCAGAAGTTGGTTAAGGTGCTCACTGACGAGGAAAGGAAGAGAATTCTCACTTATTTGAACTTACTAAACTGAAAATGTGTTTGAATTTTCTCTGAGCCACTAAAAAAACTATGTAAGCAAATAACTGGCATAAACAACAAAATCCTAAGTAATAGTTTTGTTCATTTTTCTCCCTGTTATGGACAGTAACAGAGTTGGGTCTTTATGTCTTAGAAACAGTACTAGAATAAAAGATTCCCTGGTGCTTCCTGGAGTTGATGCCAAGAAAAGTAAAAGGATTCCAGGAAGCATGAAGTAGATTGTATCTCAGATCCTTTCAAGGAAGAAGGTCCTGGACGAATCTAGGGAGGTATAGTACATCCCTTGCACTTCAGGTAGTTGCAGTTGAAGTAGCCAGCCTGAGCACTGGCATGCCTGGAGGCGGGGATACACTGTAGATAAGAAAATGAGTCATAAAATGATGAACAGAGAAGCAGGAAAACAAAGGAGACAAAGCTTGCAGAGCTAGAAAAACACTAACGAGTTTAAGAGCAGATGCAGATGGAGTGAGGCACAGCGTATTAGTAGGGGGCAGGTTAAGCTGCCATAGCGAGAAGACCCCAGACTACACAGCACAGAATATTATTTTCTCTCACATAATAGTTTAGGGTGTCTATGTCTAGTAGAGAGGCTATTCTATCCTCAACACAGAGCTTCCATCTTTAGGTCAAAACTGAAGATTCTTATCACCTCCCATCCACAGAAAGGGACAAAAGACCAAGGGAGCTTACCACACTCAACTGTTTAAATGGTAAGACCCAGAAGTGGCCAGATCACTTCTGCTCATACCTTTTGGTTAAAACTTAGACACAAGGCCACAGCTAGCTTAAAGGAAGGCTGGGAAATACAATCTTTAGCTGGGGAATCATCTACCTATCTAAAATTTTATTAACATAGAAGAATAGAAAGATAGATATTTGGGGACAATAAGTAGTTTCTGTCACCAATAGAGACCAGGAGATAGATCCTGTTAATATAAACTGTATGTAAAAGCCTATTTCTTTAATGTGTGTTACATGGAAGAGAATCTTCCAGACTTCACCACAGTAGTCAAGGCCACTCTGTCAAGGCCACAAACATCTTCAGCAATTTCTCCTCTCATGACTTTCAAGATGGCTCCATGGCAGCTTGAGTCTTAAAATTGTGATGTCAGTCCTCCTGGTGGATCAGAAGGCTGACCTTACACATTTGTTGAGTAATAGTTAATATCTTTTCATATTGTAAACATGTGACTGATGCTCTGTTTATTTTCATAAAGTCTGGGATAGACTTCAGAGTATTGAGGGAGAAACTGTAAGAGGATGGCAGAGATTACAGATAGATAAAAGGTATTAACACTAAAAAGATACATACTAAAGACAGTATGCCATATATATACATATATATATATATATATAAAACGTATGTACCATCAATTAATAATACTGTTTTAATAGATTATAGAAATTTGTTTTATATATGCACATGTTGATATATGTAGAACAATGAACATACATACCTTTGTGCATGTATATATGTACACACAGAGGTATGTATGTTTGTTGTGTATATATGCGTGTGTGTATATATATACACACACACATATATGTTTGTTCATTTCCGATCAGGAGGCTGTCTACAAATTTTATGTATGAAGAAACAGTCCATGTTGAATGAATATGTGCTTGCTAAAGCACCGATCTCTAGTTAAAACTTTTTCTCCAATTTCTAATATTGAGTCATAATGTTTATGAAATCACTTAGAATTATCCCAGAAAATAATGCTATTTAAGAATTATTTGAAATTGTGTTTCTCAAAAATATATATAAAGCCCTGGAATAATAGTACTATGAGTGCAAGGCATTGATGACTTTGGCTCTGGTTCCTTTTTTGTATCACTACTACATCCTTAACACATGGCCTGATGCTTGGCATTTTATACACCTCAAAATTAGGAATGAACAAATGAATGAATGAAATATGAAAAAAGAGTTATGTATGCACACATGAATGAATAAATGCACATTTTGAAAGTTGCATTTATGATTCAGGGTTCTAGTTAACCAGCTTCTACTAAAGAAGCAAATAGAATTTTCAAACATAACAACAGTTGCTAGAGTTAATTTTCAATGTTTTCTCATTAATGCATTTGTTTTTACCTTAATGTTACTTCATGAGAATCATTCCAACCTGGTTATTTCTGGTCTTTTTGTTGTTGTTGTTCTAATACGCAGGATGTGAAGACATGAAGGCTGACATCATGTTTCTGGTGGACAGTTCTGGGAGTATAGGAAATGAAAATTTTGGGAAAATGAAAATCTTCATGAAAAACCTGTTAACTAAGATTCAAATTGGTGCAGACAAAACCCAGATTGGCGTTGTTCAGTTCAGTGATGAACCTGAGGAAGAGTTCCAGCTTAACACATATTTTACACAGCAAGAAATTTCTGATGCAATAGATAGAATGTCTCTCATCGATAAAGGCACTTTAATGGGAAAGGCACTAAATTTTGTAGGTCAATATTTCACCAACTCCAAGGGGGCCCGTTTCGGGGCCAAAAAATTTCTTATCCTCATCACAGATGGAGTAGCGCAGGATGATGTGAGAGATCCTGCTAGAATTCTTCGGGACAAAGATGTGACCATCTTTTCTGTGGGAGTATATGGTGCTGATAGATCTCAGCTAGAAGAGATCAGTGGGGATGGCAGCCTTGTTTTTTACGTTGAGAACTTCGATCATCTACAGGCACTAGAAAGAAAACTTGTCTTTCGTGTGTGTGCTCTCCATGGTAAGTGCCCCTGTTACCTGCCAGGACTCAAGGTTGTGAGCTGTTGACTTTATAATGAGAAACACTGTATGGTACTCTGGCCCTGGCCTCCACCTAGACTTCAGTGTTAGATTTTGGTCTTCTTTATGTTATATTAAAATTCCTGTGACCTCCAGAGATGTTTCAGACTAACAATTTTGGCATCTAGTTTAGCACAACATAGTATGGCATTGGTGACTTAAGTATATTTCAAAAAGATCCCAGAATTTTACTTTAAACTTCCAACTCTTTAATACCCACATACCTGGATTTTCCAGAGCCAGTTTTTAATCCCAAATGATTTTCTAGAATTGTTTCTTGCCTATCTGTAGCCATTGTTAAGCAGAAAATAGCTAGAAACATAAATTCATCTTTCTTTTCATTAAATTATGTCCAGTATCCTAAGCACCACCCACCAAAAAAAAAAAACCCCTGTGTATTTTAAAGATAGAGTGTTTATTTTCATGACTTCATATTAGTATTCTTAACCTCTATCAACTGGATATTTTATATTTGCCTGTTCATATATCCATACCTTTGGAAAATTTTAATTTGTGACTTTTCTGATTACTTGGGGTCATCATTTTATTCTCACAAATCATAGTGTTTTAAAAATCAAACCTTCAGTTTGAGCCTATCAATTTTAATGTCTTTGAAATGAGAACATGCTATCAATCCACATATAGACTAAAATACCTGTGTTTTAAAATCTATCATGTACTATTTTCCGTGTTTTGGATACAACTAAGAAAACACACCGAAGTAAGTTTGTTTTGTGTTGTTCCTCTGGCAACATAGAGTCCAATTTTCACTGGACTTTATTCTTCAAAATAATGCATATGGAATTTTTGGAAACTTAACAAAATGTCTCAAAAACACTTAAGTGTTAGGTGATAGTTCTAAAGTTTCCTTGGTAACGGCTTAATTAGAATTTTTTTCTTCCCACAAAGGTGGCAGTGATTTCAAACTTCTTGATAATGTTGACAGGTGTATCTAAAGCCTATAGCTTCAACTTTGAAGTCTGCATGGCTTTTCTTGGCATTTCTTTATTTTGATTAAATGTAAATATGGAGGCCCTGTCTATAGAATAACATGAAATTTCAGCTGACTCACTAGATTGTCTCCTAAGTATCAGGTCATGACTAGTCACCAATTCTCAGTGGGTCATTGACCAAGGTTTTTACAGATATAACCTGGGCACATTCACAGTGTTAAAAACTTAAAAATTTGAGACTTTATTATTAGAAATAAGTTGAGGCCGGGTGCAGTGGCTCACACCTGTAATTCAGCACTTTTGGAGGTTGAGGTGGGTGGATCACGAGGTCAGGAGTTCAAGACCAGCCTGACCAAGATGGTGAAACCCCGTCTCTACTAAAAATACAAAAAATTAGCTGGTGTGGTGGCCCATGCCTATAATCCCAGGTACTTGGGAGGCTGAGGCAGAGAATTACTTGAACCTAGGAGGTGGAGGTTGCAGTGAGCCAAGATCGCGCCACTGCACTCCAGCCTGAGTGACAGAGAGAGACTCTGTCTCAAAATATATATATATATATATATATATTTATATATATATATTTATATATTTATATATAAGAAATAAGAGTTGATGATTAGCTAGGCAGTTGGAAAGTGGAGAAAGCAAATCTTTGGAAGACACATTCATAAGTTATTGAGGGAAGGAAAAAGGTGGGGAAAGAGTCCACACTTTGGAAAGCCAGTCAAAGCAGTAACTTGGCTCCTAATGTGGAGGAGGGTTTGGGGTCAGGGAAGAGGTGATGGAAGTCTTTGCTCTCCTCCTACTTGGATCCACTCCCTTCTGAGTTCTAATTCAAAAGGTAAGGGGGAAAAGCATAAGTAACTGCAGAGAGACATGATGCACAAGGGATGGTTTGCATACTGAGGATCAAAAGATACCTGGAGCCAGAGGGAGTAGGGTAAAAACCCCTAGTTATACAGCGAGCTCCTGAGCTTTTTAAAATAGCAGGCCAGTTTGGCAAACATCAGTATGTCTCACCATGACACTGGCATCGAACTAGCTTTCAACATTGCCTTTCAGTTGAAAGCCTGCTTAGCAAAAGACATTATATGTCCTAATGAGATGCAGCAAAATAGACTGGTGTGGCATAAGGACCACTGATCCAGGAGCGATATAGATAGGGTCAAAATGTCCTTGAAGTCATGATGTAGGCAAGGTGCACTTCTCTGAGCCTTGACCTTTTTTTTTTTTTTTCCTACAAAATGGCAGCAGCCACCTCTAAGAAGTAAGTAAGATGTAGTGTCTGATAGATAGTAGGGTCATGGCCAATGCTAGGTCGCTTCCCTTCTCAGCAGCCTACGTAAAATGCGCTGCAGAAAGTTGTTGACTCCTGCTTTCTTCTCCTTTCAGACTGCAAAAGGATTAAACTGCTAGATGTTGTGTTTGTGCTGGATCATTCAGGTAGCATAGCAGAACAATCTCAAGATCACATGGTTAACCTAACTATGCATTTGGTGAAGAAGGCAGACGTTGGCAGGGACCGAGTTCAGTTTGGAGCTCTCAAATACTCTGACGATCCTGAGATCCTTTTCTACCTTAATACGTACTCGAACAGATCAGCAATCATTGAGAATCTGAGGATGCGCAGGGACACCGGAGGGAACACGTACACTGCCAAGGCTCTCAAGCACGCAAATGCCCTGTTCACAGAGGAACACGGCAGTCGCATCAACCAAAATGTGAAGCAGATGCTGATTGTCATCACCGATGGGGAATCTGATGACCGCGCCGAGCTCAATGACACAGCAGCGAAACTGAGAGACAAAGGCATCACCATCTTTGCCGTGGGTGTAGGAAAGGCCGACCAAAAGGAACTTGAGGGTATGGCAGGGAATAAAAACAATACTATCTATGTAGATAATTTTGACAAGCTGAAAGATATCTACGCACCTGTACAAGAAAGTCTGTGTACTGAAGCACCAGAGGGTAAGTTGTTACTGTTAAAGTTTCTATCGGGGTAGCAATAAAATTTAAACAAAAAATTTTTGAAATTTTTGGGTCTCCTATTACCTGGATGTTACAGACTAAACATTTCTCTGCTCAGGCTATCCGTTTTCTCATATGTAAAAGAACTAGGTTGATCGAACAAGATCCCGAAGGTTCCTTCCCACCACAGCATGCCCTAAAGAGCTTATACAGGAAAGTTTCAGGGACAGTCCCTGGCATTTTGCTACTCTGTTGCCTTTTTCTGGTAGAAAGGAATTCCTCTTAGGGTCATATTCAGGTTACCCCATTTAATGGCTGTTCATGGTGCTCCACGTGGTTAATGGTGTCAATGGAGCCATCGGACGTCAGTTTCAGGCCAAACTCATGGTTTAAATGGATAGGCTTTTGTCTTCAAAGATCCAGGGCCTTCTAAATGCGAACATGGGCATTTTAGAGAGACATCGAAATTCAAGTGGCCTGATAACGCTTTTCTGGGTAAGAGCCACCAGTGCAGAGGGCAGGATATGAGAGTTGAACGTGGAGCAATGGAAACTGCCTGAGAAGAACAGGAAGGTAAGGGGACTGAGATGATTACCAGCTACCCCTGGGGTTGGTAGGCTGGAGATACCACATTCGAGGGAGGACAGGGTGAGATTTGCCACTTGTGGTCTCCAAAGCAGCAGAGACTGATGAGTCACCTAGGAAGGGCTGCTGTGCCTACTTGGAAGATCCGAAGTCCTGTGGTCTGTGTATTGGCCCAGTCCTCCCAGTCTGGCGAGTGAATCAATCAACTATTGAATTTCCTTTCTTCCTCCCTCCTCTTGTTTCTTTCTTCCTTTATTCCTTCTCTACCAATATGAAGCTCACTTCTGTAACTAATATAAATAAATCACATTTCTAAGACTGACATTAACCCATGTCCGTATCTGTAACTTGTCCAACCCCAAACAAAACCTTCCCTCGAATCCTGTGTCAGATCGGCATTTGCTTGGCTAAATAAAACTACCCTTGACCACCATAGTTTTACCTGACTTAAGTAAGCAATTAATTCATCTTCTTGGTTTCAGATATTGAATGATGGTATCATCTTTATCCAAGGGAAATTATGGTTTTTCTCAAGACAGCAAGACCACCCTAGTTCTGCCTGTTCTATCCTCTCCCTGGACTCTCACCCTGAAGCCTGGGCTCCCCTCCCTCAGTCCCAACACCTGCCAGTCCACTTAACACTGAGTGTTCTTTCTCCTGCACACTGGATATGTCACTCTTCTGCTTACAGCATTTTTTTTTTTGGAGGCCTCCCTGTGCCCTGGGAAGTTTCTAAATTCCTGAGTTCTATCTGGCTACTTCACCAACCTCATTGATCACCTCTCCCCTCTTCACAACCTACCCTGTCCTGAAATTCCTCCACATCTTTGTGCACACTATCCTGCCCACCATGAACACCCCAGCCCACCACTGTGCCTGCCTACATCTCACTTTTCTGTCAAGTTTCAGTCTATTTGCTAGTTTCCTGGCCCAAAACTTGACCCCATGCTCCCACCACGTCCCCCAACTCTCACACCTTCTATTTTTCCAAGCGGTAGCACTTGACACGTATTTGCTATTTTCCTGTGAGTGTCTGTCACAGACTACGATCTCTGCAGGCAGGCTTAATCTCATTTGTTTGGGGCGCCCTCCAAATCTAGTACATTACTAAGATTACAGTCTTTTCCCAGGAATGTGGAGGCTGTTTTATTCTCATTTCCCACGCCCTACATTTCTGAGGTAGTGCTGAGATGGAGTTTGGGATGGAAGATGCTAAGTAGGGATCCACACCTGTAAAGTCAACGGGGAAAGCAAGATGGGCCAAATAACTGAAACAGTAACATGGGTGAAACAAAGCTCCAAGCCTAGCAGGGAGCTCTGAAGTAAATATTGCCCATTAGAGTTGTCCAGCATCAGCCTGAAGTGGCTGGGACTGTGAGAACTCCCTTCCCACTGAGTGCCTGAATGTGGCTTCCTTAGGAAGGGCATGATCTTTGGCGAGGCATCTCTCTATGGTGAGACAAACCCCGGAAGTGCTGACAGCTAGAAGCTGTCTACTGCCTGCCCGTACTCCCATAGCTGGGAAATAAGTTCTTCCCTTCAAGGCTATCCAGGCAGCCCATCGCTGTCTGTCACACCACTCTTAAAAGGAATCGTGTGACCATGGGTAACCTACTGTCTAAATTACCTTTAGTAATCAACCGTCGTGCTGCCCCTACTATAGCCATCGAGTTTGGCTTGAAATGACTATAGAAAAAGTTACTCTTTGGTTTTGGGACATTTCAGATTGAACTTCAGAGAGATAACCATATGCTCTATTTACTGGCCATTCACACTTGTTCCGAGAACTTCTAACATTTGGGTCATGATATTCTTAAAAAGCATTGCAGCAGGAAAGAAGTGCTAAATGTATGAGTAAAAAAGATCTAGAGGTCCAGATTACCAGCTCCAATCCATAGTAATTGTGTGTTCCTAGGCAAGACACTTAACCTCTGAATTCTGTTTCTATATTTATAAAATTAGAATAATTGCTTATAGGGTGGTTGTGAATATTAATGTTGTTATTGTATGCCAGAAGCATTTTAAAAATGCCACTCTTCAATATGAATGTAAAGTGATAACATGAATAGTAATAGGACTAATAATAGTATAGTAAGTACTATCATCTTGACAGGGTAAAGGTCCCAGTCTTGGTGTTTTGAAGGGACATCTAGCCTTTGTAATCACCTTTTAATGAGTACATGAAATTTATTCAAACTTCTTACTTTCTTTCTCTGATTAGCTTTCAGTGTCTTTTCAACTGGATTGTATAAATAATTAAATTTTGATAAAAACTCTATTGTCTTTCCTCCTTTTGCTGTTTGTTCTTTTTGACGGTCAATCAGTGATTCTCTCGTTAGCTTATCTCAATTTGCTAATGTAAAGCAATTGAAGTATTTAGTAAAGCAATTTAAGTATATGAGTAAAGGAAAAATGTAGAATGATTCATGAGGAAAATAATGTATTCTTTTTTCTATTGCAGTCTGTAATCTTGAGGAAGCTGATGTGATTTTCCTCTGCGATGGCTCTGACAGAGTATCTAATTCAGATTTTGTTACCATGACAACTTTCTTGTCAGACTTAATTGATAATTTTGACATTCAGTCTCAGAGAATGAAAATTGGTATGGCTCAATTTGGAAGTGACTACCAGAATATTATTGAGTTGAAAAGCTCTCTGAATAAAACCCAGTGGAAGACTCAAATTCAGACTGTCTCCAAGAGCAGTGGGTTTCCAAGAATTGACTATGCCCTTAAAAAAGTGAGCCATATGTTTAGTCTACGTGCTGGTGGGAGAAGAAATGCTGGTGTCCCCCAGACTTTGGTTGTTATCACATCTGGAGATCCTCGCTATAATGTGGTGGGTGCAGTAAAAACCCTGAAGGACCTTGGAATTTGTGTCCTGGTTTTGGGCATAGGAGATGTTCACAAGGAACAGCTTCTGCCAATAACAGGCAATTCTGAAAAAATAATCACTTTTCAAGACTTTGATAAATTAAAAAATGTGGATGTGAAAAAAAGAATTGTCCGTGAAATCTGCCAGAGCTGCGGGAAAACCAGTAAGTGCTCCTTGTTTGGTTTTCTTCCATGAAAACTCATTTCTCCATTTCCCAAGAGTGTCTTATGTGCTAGCAGAGCATATATTTAGAACATATATTTAGTGAGAATATCTCACTAATTGTGCCGTGAGAAGAGACTTCTCTGCTTCCAGGAAGTTTGGATAACTCAGCCTCCCTCAAAGACAAGGAGAGGGCGCAGAGGCTAGAGGGAACTGCTGGGGTATGTCCTCTGGTCAGCCCGGTTCCCTGATGGCAGTCCAGTGTTTATTCTCCTTTTAGCACCTGGATCTCTGTCTCCTACTTCTCTCCTTTCCACTTCTGGAATTCCTAGTAAATGCCTTCCATCTAATAGAAAGTAAGTAAAATAAGCATTTGCTGATTAGAAGTTTTACTATTGTACATTTGTTAAACCATCTTGTAAGGGACTCGTGTGTGTGTGGCGGGGGGTGTATTTTTCTTCTTTTAATGATTACATTTATGTAATCATAGCCTAGTAAAGATCAGAATTGTCCTTAGAGGTTATTTAATCCAGAAGTCACAAAGGCACATGGCTGCAAAGGCTAGGTAAGTAGTGGAGATGAGTCAAGTGAGAAGAATATGAGGACAGTGAACTGGAAGACGGTGATCCATTTCACAGGAATGCCACTATTCAGCTCCAGCTGAGAGTGGCCACAGGGGACTCAGCTTCTGTAAATTCGAGGCTGGGAGTTGGGAGGATAGCATGTAAGGAAGCAGCAGCAAATGATAATGGTTTTGGAATTTGCACACATGCAGAAATTCCTCGGAGTGCTTATGTTTGTAAAGTTGTTAGGATTGAAGCCACTTCTTTCACGAAATGTGTTACTCTTTCCAAACTCGCCACATCTTTTGTGTCCCATTTGCAGTACTCACGTGGAGGCAGATTATAGTGGTGGACAGAGTCCTGGGCCTGGAATCAGAAAGCCAGAGTGCTAACTCTGGTTCAGCAGCAACAACCTCCACACCCCGCTGTTCCCTCATCTGTAAAATGAGCAACGGGGCAGGATCAGAGTAACCAAACGGCAGCAGGCGGTGGCAGTTTGTTCGTTGCATCTAGTGTTGATGAGTTGCTAAATTAGTTAACAGCATTCACACTGAAGGTTCTACATTAAAAATGTAGACATCAGCCTCCTCTTTGAAAAACCAGGAGATCTGACAACATTGGGCCCCATTTCCCACATAGCTACTGTCAGCCAGAGCTGAACAGTGAACAGATCCAGAAGCGGGTTATTGTTCTCCAGTTCATTTTCTTCACACCCTGCCCACTTGAGTCATCTGTCTTATCTACCCGCCTTTGCAGCCATCTGTGTTTGTGATCTCTAAAACTTAAATAACCTGTAAGGACAGCTCAAAACTTGAATGTATTCTGATGCTATGAATTAAAATATGTCACCATTAAAAGAAAAGATCTGCATCCATGCCCACGTGCGTGCTCACACATACAACAAAGCCTCTGAGAATCAAGCTATCATTTGAACTTCAAATAGCAATTGGAACTTTTAATATTTTAAAGGGGACAGACAGAACCCCCGTGATATATGTTGGTATCACATATATATGTGATACACATGTACACATATATGTATATGATAAAGCAGCCAGTGTCTTCCTTCTTGAACCGTTTTTGGGGACTGGAGACCCCCCTAGCTCCAGGACATGACACTGCTCCTTTTTTCTGCCCTGTCTACTCATTAACCTTGACTCTGTTCCCTTGGTTTCCAGATTGCTTTGTGGACATAGTGATCGGGTTCGACATCTCCACTCATGTGCAGGGGCAGCCTTTGTTCCAGGGCCACCCCCAGCTGGAATCCTACCTCCCAGGCATCTTAGAAGACGTCACCTCGATCAGGGGGGTAAGCTGCGGGGCTGGTACAGAGGCCCAGGTGAGCCTGGCGTTTAAGGTGAACAATGACCAAGAATTCCCTGCCAAGTTCCAAATCTATCATAAAGCAATGTTTGACAGCTTGCTGCAAGTCAGTGTCAGTGGGCCAACTCATCTGAACGCACAGTTCTTGCAGTCTCTGTGGGACACATTTAAGGATAAATCTACATCCCGGAGTCAGGTATCCATATTATATTCTGTTTCCCATGTCCACATTCTTCCATTTGTTCTTCATTCCCCACTCATATAATTAGCTTTTACACCATCCCGTTTTCTTATTTCTCTAGGTGCTGCTTATTTTTTCAGATGGTCTCCAGAGTGAAAGCACCATAATGCTTGAAAATCAATCAGACAGGCTCAGAGAAGCAGGTACTGAGTGGAAAATTTAAACAGTGAAGCGTGGAATATGTTTAACAAGTCTCTACCTTTACTCAGATGCTCTGGATCTTGAGATCCGACTGGTTATTTGTAGCAGAGGTTTTTGGTACCTTGTCTAGTCCCCCTTGACAAGCCCTCACTGTCCTCCCCAAAATGCTGCAGATTCTATGGCCAAGTGCTTCTGCTTACGACCTTCTATAGACATGAGCCCTTGACTGACCTGAACCATGTACCTTGTACCTTAGCGTACTTGGAATGGGAGTGGGGTTACCATGTCCACCTTGGTGGTGGTGGTAGGGCTGTCTATGATATAGGAATACAAAGGCCTGGCACTCTTGCTTAAATGGGTCAACTCTGGTACAATTTGCACCCCAGAGTCCCTCATGAATCAGGTAAAGGCTAATTTTACTGAGATATTTCCCGGCTTACAACACCTCTTTCCCTTTCCTGCTCTCTCTGTCAATATAGACACCACATACATACAAAATCCTCTCTCAGGTTTCAGTTCTAGGGAACCTGACCCAAGACAGTTCCTCTTGTTTCTTATTTTCCATATGAGAGGTAGTAACATGGATTCAGAAAAGCATTTTTCACTACGTATCTTCTGTCCATGTCATAGCTTCGGACTGAGCAAAACGCTAAATGCAGAAGCTGAGAGTAGGATGCAGTGATGGAAGACTCCTTTAATTCTCAAATGAGATGCATCATTTAAGCATCCCTTGGTGTAGCTCAGACTGACTTTTAGGGTTCAGCTTCCACAGGCAATCTCCCTAAAGGCCACAATATGTCCTGATTTATTGCTCAGTTGTGTTTCTTTCTCTTCACAGATCCCTTCAATACCTTCTCATTGTTCTTGGGATATAGATCAAATTCCTTAATATGGCCTGGGAACTTTGCAGAACCTGGCCTCTGCTTCCCTGGCCTCTGTACATATATGTGTATATATATATGCATATATAGATATATATACACACATGTGTGTATATGTATACGTATATGTATATGTATATATATATACGTATATGTGTATATATATCTATACACATATATGTATATGTATATGTATATATATACACACACATATACACATATATATATATATACATTTTTTTGAGGTGGATTTTCACTCTTGTTGTCCAGGTTAAAGTGCAGTGGCATGATCTTGGCTTGTTGCAAACTTTGCCTCCCAGGTTCAAGTGATTCTCCTGCCTCAGACTCCAGAGTGGCTAGAATTACAGGCACCTGCTCTCATGCCTGGCTAATCATTTTTGTATTTTTAGTAGAAACAGGGTTTCACCATGTTGGCCAGGCTGGTCTTGAACTCCTGACCTCAGGTGATCCACCCCCTATGGCCTCCCAGAGTTCTGGGATTACAGGTAGGAGCCACCATGCCTAGCCTCCAATGTACCTTACCTTGTACAGTACAGTGGCCAATTAACATTTATCCTTTGGAATCAGCTTCAACATTGATTTTTCCAAGAAACCTTCCATGACCCTCCAAGAATGGGTTAAGAACTTCTCCCTCTAGGCTTTTATGGAACCCTGATGTTTCTCAGAGCAACTATCTGATTCTTACCATCTGTTCCCTTGGACCATTAACTCTGGGAAGGGAAGCAGTAAGCCTGACTTACTCATTTGTATCTCTCTATTATACAATGATTAGTACACAATAGGCTCCTGTTTATAATTTAAAAATTTGTTTAGTCAAAAGATAAACTAAACTAATACATGAATTCATGAGTGAATAGATGAATTAATGAATGAATAGACTGGATGCAGTCAGGAGTTCAACTAAGACTAGAATTGCCCTGGGCTTTCCTCATGTTCTCAGGGCCTGGCCTCCCAGGGGTGTCTGAAATTGGGAATAACTTGAGAATTATCATTAATTTACATTCAGGAAAATTCAGAAAAACTCTCTGAAGATAACAATGTCTTTTCTTAAAAATCACTTTCCATTGTCCAAGAATTACATCGAAATTGGTGGTAAGATGTGGAAAACAGTTTTCTGTTAGTGTTTCTCTATAGATTTGTAAATTGTTTCTCTTGAATACTTTTTATCAGTTATCCCCAGACTTTCATGCAAAAGTCAGGGACCAGAGCTGGTGCATATTCAGAAAATGCAGGCAAATCTGCCATTAGTTTCTTCATATGTCAGGAGTACTCCTTCCTTTTTTAAATTAGTTAAATCCTGTTCATTGAGTAGAATTACTATGGCTTCCTTTTTTTTTTTTTCCATGTACAAGTCCTTTACTTTCTGTTATTTTTATCACACAGGACTTGATGCTCTGCTGGTAGTGTCCCTTAACACAACTGCTCATCATGAGTTTTCCAGCTTTGAATTTGGAAAAGGATTTGATTACAGAACTCATCTGACCATTGGAATGAGAGAGCTGGGCAAAACATTATCACAGTACCTGGTGAGTCATTGAACAAAACCCCCAGTTGTTCAAAATGCCATGGGAACTAAATTGGAATCTTGATAAGAACTTTCAAGGACCGCCTTTGTTTACCCCCAATAAAGTAAGTGCTTGGTCCTTAGTATATTTTTTTAAAGTGTGGCATAGCATAGTATTTTGTTTTTGCATGTTCTTTCATTCTTTGTGATCTCACTAAATGAATGCATAAGGAACTAAAAAACCAACCAACTCATAATTGAATTAAAAAGTCCCCAACTGTTTATGCTGCAGAAATTTCAGGAAACAAGACTGTCAACTAGCAAACAACAAATCCTATCCACATGCTGGATGCCTTGTTTATAAACAGGTCGTTTCCTTTGGAGAGGGGATGTTGCCAGAGCAGTGCCTGGTACCCTCTCTGCAGTGTTAAATTCAGAAAACACCTCGTATCCTCAGCAGCCCCTCATCCAAAGGGAGAAGATGGGCTTGTAGGTGGTGGATTTGTGTGAGTACAATTCTTATGTAATAAAGTTTGTGACAATTTTTATTCACTGAGCTTTATATCCCACCCCCCGCCCCGCCCCAGGGAAACATTGCAGAGAGGACTTGCTGCTGTACGTTCTGCAAATGTCCAGGAATTCCAGGACTACTTGGGGTCCGAGGACTGCAAGCCAAGAAGGTGCTACTCACTCGCGATACTATTTTATCTAATGTGCCTTGATTTGGTACAGGTGGGACTGAGACTGAGTGGTTTAATTTAAAACATTCACTCCATGCTAATGTAATTGCTTTGGACGTCTCATGTGACTTTTTTGGTATAAAATCCAGGTCAGAAGAGCTCACTTTTGGTATTGCTAGCAAGAATAACTCCCTTTTCTCTTGCATATCCTTGTTAATGTTGCTTCTTGGTTTTGTGATTTATACTTTCGGACCTGCTTTAGACAGTTGGAAAGTGGTAAAAAGGAAAAATAGTGAAGATAAAGCTGGGTGTAGTAGCTTGCACCTATAATCCCAGCAACTTGGGAGGCTGAGGTGGGAAGATTACTTCATTGTTCAAGACCAGCCAGGGCAATATAGCAAGACTTCATCTCCTTAACAGTAAATAAATTAACAAATAATATTGGAGACTTGTGCTTCATCATCAACGGAGTGAGACTGAACTACAAAAAGATCATAGCATTGCAGATTAATAGCCCTTTAAAACATAAATTATAAAATATTAATTATGCAACAATAGGATGAATAAATATGTCATAATATTTTCAGTAAAATATGCCAATGAAAACGAATGAACTACAGCTATATGCAAAATGAATAAATTATACTAACATGGTAATGACCCAAAAAAAAGCAAAACACAGAAGAATACATATGGTAAAATTCCATTTATTAAAAGTTATAGTATGACCGGGGGCGGTGGCTCACGCCTGTAATCCCAACACTTTGGGAGGCCGAGGCGGGTGGATCACAAGGTCAAGAGATTGAGACCATCCTGGTCAACATGGGGAAACCCCGTCTCTACTAAAAATACAAAAACTTAGCTGGGCGTGGTGGCACGTGCCTGTAATCCCAGCTACTCAGGAGGCTGAGGCAGGAGAATTGCCTGAACCCAGAAGGCGGAGGTTGCGGTGAGCCGAGATTGCGCCACCGCACTCCAGCCTGGGTAACAAGAGCGAAACTCCGTCTCAAAAAAAAAAAAAAAAAAAGTTATAGTATCTATGGAGGAATACTTAAGTGGTTAAGTATTTTTTAAAGGCCAGAAACTATTATCAGAAGTCAGGAGTGCCCTCGTGGAGGGGGGCAGGCACTGTGCCTGGGACCAGTAATGTTCTGTTTCTTGACCTGGGTGGGCTACACAGGACTTACATATAACAATTATAATATTCTATAAAGTTACTATATAATAATTAAGCTATCCATTTATATTTTATATACTTTTATGACTTTTCAAATGGATTTTAGATATCATAATAAAAATGCAGTTTTTCTTTTAAAAAAAGAGATCAACAATACTTGCTCATGAGTTCTGCACTGCCCAATCTTATGGAAGGACAATTTATATTGAATTTTTTACTGCACTGTGATGTTTTGTTTAGCACAATTTTCTCTCGTTACTTTGCTCAGGTCAATATTAGAATTATGCTCCAGGAGCACAACCCCCCTGGTATACTGAGCAGCCAGCTGGGCCTGTGTTAGAGGGTAGGGAAAGCAAATTCTAATGAAATGTTTGCCACAAGTAAGCCATGACGCAGTTAAGCCACATGTGGCTAAGGGAGAGATGACTGCAATTAAAATATATGCAGCCGGCTGGGCGCGGTGGCTCAAGCCTGTAATCCTAGCACTTTGGGAGGCCGAGGCGGGTGGATCACGAGGTCAAGAGATCGAGACCATCCTGGTCAACATGGTGAAACCCCGTCTCTACTAAAAATACAAAAAAGTAGCTGGGCATGGTGGCGCGCGCCTGTAAGCCCAGCTACTCAGGAGGCTGAGGCAGGAGAATTGCCTGAACCCAGGAGGCGGAGGCTGCGGTGAGCCAAGATTGCGCCATTGCACTCCAGCCTGGGTAACAAGAGTGAAACTCTGTCTCAAAAAAAAATTATATATATATATGCAGCCTTGTTGTTGGAAGTGCTTAGTCTTTCTTGAGCTCTCAAAATAGCAGGACAAAATAAAATAGTCCCTTTGGAAATGTTACAGGTTTGTTTGCTAAAAGGGTTGTGGCTGGCACGGCTGTCCTTCCTGCAAATTGCTCAGAGACAGGCGTGGCTCTGCAGGCCTCATCCAGAGGTCAGCCTCCTGCAAGTGTTAGGAGAGTCCCCTTCTGCAGCAGGGCTTCAGAGCTGAGTGCAAGGACAAAAGCCAGCTCCAAATGTTGTCAGAGTTTACACAAACTCACAGCCACATCTGCAGAGACCACACCCAAGTTGGAGGAAGGGACTTGCTTAGAATGCCTAATGATTTCCCAAGTTTGCCTTGACGGAGGATGACTAGAATTTATCTTTCTCTCTCTCTTCCCAGGGTTCTCAAGGTCTGAAAGGCAGCAGAGGACACAGGGGAGAGGTTGGAGACCCTGTAAGTTTTTGTGACCCCTCCTTCCCACACACATGTATTTTCCTTTTCATAAAAAGCTTTGTTTTCATACAAAAGGGGCAGATGGGGTTTTGTTTATATGTTTATTTTTTGTGCTTTCTTGTGGGAAGAAGTGTTGCCTTTCTTTTCATTTTTCCCTGTCCGAATCATGAGGCAGTTACTAAGTTTGGGGTAAGGAGGAAGCAGGCTTACACATGTGGCCTGGCATGTGTTTATCAGTGGCAGAGACCTGGGCACCCTCCTCTCCACCCCCAAGCAGGGCACAACAGGTTATCTGCCAGGGACCTGTTTATAGACCTAAAACCCAGTGCTTAGTACATGGCTTTGGGCCAAGGCTGGAGTCTACATCCTTCCACGGAAAGGGAAGTGGGCAAGGCATCCCTCAAGGCATGGCTTCAAAGTCAGTTGCTTCCCAGAGGTTTGCGAATCTCCATGTTGAAAACCAGAACGCTCACTTTCTGTCAGTCAAATCATAAGAAAGAATTTGAAGAAACTGAAGCCACCTAGGTAGGTCTGTTTGGGATGGGAAAAGTTCAAAAGTATCAGACTGGATTCCTATCCCTTAGATCAAGGCCAGTTCCTCATCGGGGCAGCAGGTTATAAGGATTGAAAGCAAAGACTCTAGATTCAGCCTGCCAAGAGTTGGCCTAGGTGTGGTCCTTGAACAAGTTACTTAACTTCTTGACCCTCGGTTTTCTCATCTGTAAGCAATTATAAATCCCTCTACCGTCCAACAGCTGACCTAGTTTGCAAAATGACTGCTAAGGGGTGTGCTCTAAGGAACCTACTCTGTACACTCTGAGGGTTCTTGGAGACCACCAAACTAGTATGGGAGTGCTTTGAGTGTGGGAGATAATGTCACCCACCTGCAGCCGACCCCAGCACTGCCAGAAAGTCCAGGCAATAGGAAGCCATAGAGCTAAGGTACCTCTCAGTAACCTGTGGCCATGGCAAGTCCTCCTCCTTTTGTAGGGAATGATCCTCAGAATAAAACAAAGCAGGACAAAGGACAATTCCTTCTCCCTTTTACTGGCAAGGTAAGAATTAAGCTCATTACTAATTAGTTATTCATGCAGCAAACTGTGAGTACCTGTCTTGCACCTAGACGTGAGCCAGTCACAAGGGACGTGATGGTAAAAGACACAGAGTTGGTAGGAGACACACAAATCATTGACCTTCAGCTGCTTGGATGGTCTGACTCTGGGGGTTTTTAATCTGGTGATTATTCAGGTTATTTTCTTGCCTTTGCTTTCTCATTCTCCTAGTGGGGTCACTTCCCAGCAACTGTTTCTACTCAGCAGCAGTACCCTAGCACTGACTGTGGGTCTGCTGTCAGCAGTGCTGACCCTCCCAGGACAGCATTACAGCCCTAGATGGATTACTGAGATCTTGGAATGTGGCTGCAAAGTGAGGCCACAGTGCTGTTTGACCAGGTTGTGAAGTCGCTGAGCTCTTCTTGTACCTTTTTGTGATCTTGGATCCATAAAGAGCCCTGAAGATTGACAGGAAACATGTTTGAATATAGAGGGAAAAAACAGATTTAAATGAGTGGGGTTGCAAAAGGATTTACTTTTTCTAAACCTCATAGTGCCCACGTGCTTCGGCTTCACTCTGAAAATAAACCACTGGCAAAGACATCGCTTTGATTACCTGTCTGTGCTCCTTTCTTAGGGAATACGAGGAGACATAGGACCCCAAGGAGATAAAGGGATTACAGGATGTCCAGGGGAGCAGGGTCAGAAGGTAAGGCTCTTCTGCAAATGTTATTTCCGATTCTCTCTAACACCTTCTCCCTCTCTTTCCCCACTCCTTTCCTCCCTTGTTTTCTCTGTCACTCCTCTCTCTTTTCCTTTCTCCAGTTATATTGATGAGTTTCCCTGTCTGCAGATGAATTCTGCTTTTAGGTAATATCGAGGAGTCTTTAACATTAATAAATTCCTTCTCTAACCTCTTTGTAGCTGTCTAGCCAGTAGCCACTAAGTAAATACTCACTTTAGAGAGGCAGTCTTTGAATGTACACTCTGTCTTGGATATGTCAGTGAGAAATATTTCATCTTTTGCAGGGAGTCAAAGGATTTTCCGGACTGAAGGTACTGGAGTTTTTTTCTCAGTCTAATTTGATTTCCAAACGGGATTCGTTTCCCAATAAGCATGTGATAGAGACCTGCTTTTACCTGACGGCTGTTGTGTCTCTCAGGGAGGGCACGGAGAAGATGGGATTGATGGACTTGATGGGGAAGAGGTAAGCCATATTTCTTCGAGTGTCATAAAACTGTCATGAGGCTGCTAACATTTTTTTAAGCGCGAATTTTGTTTTTCTTATCTTCTTTTAGGGCTCTCATGGACTTCCTGGAATAAAAGGAGAGAAAGGTGATCCAGGTTCTCAGGTAACATTTTTCAATACATCAAAGAAGGAGAATTTGATGACAGAGATAGTCTTAACCACTGTATGTCAGTGGTTATAGGGGATAAAACTTAAAACTGACTTAACCACATAGTAAAGGCCTTTTACCACTGAATATATGCTGCGTATCTGATTGGAGCAAGGGGGTAATTATGTAATTTTCAAGAATTTCCACCTAGAAAAATTCAGCACACATGGGCTTCTTCTATGGGCGTGTTTCCCATGTCTGAAAATGAATGCTTTTACCTGTCAGTGTTTTTTGTTGTTGTTGTTGTTGTTCATTTGTTTTTTTATAAAAAGTGTTTCCATCAATGTCAGGACTTTCTGTGTTGTCCTTATTATGTCAGAAAAAAAAAAAAAAGCAAGAGGAAGAGACAATTATTTTGGTGGCTTTGGTGGCGAATCACTGTGAAACATTTTTTAACTTTTCATTGATTTCAACACCATTCATGTGTCCCTACTTGACTTAAAGCAGCTCTACTTTTGTGTTCTGGTCCATTTATTTATGAAGTGTTTTTGAGCACCTGTCACATGTTAGGCTTGTCGTGTGCCAGGCACCTGTCATTGGTTGGGCATATATTCTTATATAATAAGAATCAGAGGTGAACCACACAGCCCTTGTCGTCAAAGATCCCAGAGTGTAACTGGGGAGACAGACATACCAATAGAATCATATAGAATGTGATTGAGGCCATGTTGTAGATATCTACATGGGTGTCCAGAAAAGGGCATGTAACTCAGCCTGGGACAGGGATTGTCTAGAAAGTCTTCCTGGAGGAAACGATCTCTGAGCTGAAGAGAAGCAGGAATTCAGCAAGGCAAAGATGTGGAGGAAGGGCATTCCAGACAGAGGGATGTAAAGCATAAGCAAAAGCATGAGACTTTGGGGCACTGCCAAGTTTTTCTTACTGGAGGGAGCATTAGAATACAGGTACTGGGAGATGAGGTTCAAGAGGTAGAGGGAAGAGATCAAGAGTTTGGGAGGGCACTAGTGAGCCTGAGCCATCACGAAGAGCTTGGTTTTGGGTTTTTTAACCATAAGACAGTGGGGGCCTTTGAAAGACTTTAAGAAGAAAAATCACAATCAGATTTGCATTTTAGAAATACTACTTGCAGTAATGTGGTTGCTGTGTTGCAGATGACATAGACGCAAGGCAAAGGTGAGAGGCAGATCTGTAGAAATCAAGGGGGAAGTGATAAAGCCTTGAAGTAAAGCAATGACAGAACTGACACAAAATATGCTAAGGTGATCGCAGGGCTCGGATTGAAGCGAGGCTAGCAGGACACCTAAGGTGCAAAAGGGACTGAGTTATGTGAAGTAAATACCTACCTCAGTTCTACACCCTAGGTGCCTCTCTCGTCTCACACTAGGCGTGGCTCTGGGACCTGAAATCTCCAGATACAGGTGGCTAGAGGAAGAGGAAATAGAGAATCAGTCAATATGCCTGCAAGGATCCTAGCTTGGGCAAGTCGAAATGGAAATAATTGGGTTTGCGGTGATAATGGAATATTCCTGTGAAAGTTTCCATTGGGCAATTTATTTTTAGATGTTAGAAGTTGCTAGACTGGCTAGGATGCCCAATACAATAGCCACTAACCACATGTGATTATTTAAAGTTAAATCGTAAATAATTAAGAAATTCTGTTATTTAGTGGCATTAATTACATTTCAAGTCTTTAATAGCCACATATGGCTAATGGCTACCATACTGATGAATGCAGCTATAGAACATTTCCTCCACTGCAGAAACTCCTACTGGATAGCGTTATGTTAGACCATAAGAAGTTTTTTAGTTTCCGCGCCTCACTGCAAATAATCCTGACCATAGGCTTAAAACTGGACTTAGTACTGCTTCAGAAGTCTAAGGGAATCTGGCTGAAATAGAAGGACATAGAGCATTTATAAAAGTTGGTATTTAACGCCATTATACAAGCCTCTTACAAGATAACTCAGAAATTTATTTTATTTTTTTTTCAGGGCAGCCCAGGTTCCAGAGGTGCTCCTGGGCGATGCGGAGAGAAGGGCTTCCCCGGGGATCCGGTAGGTTTCTAGGGTCCAGTATTGCTCCACCGTTCCCGTCTCCTTCCCCTTTGTGTTTCCTGCTACCCTGTAGGCAAATGCTTGTCTTAGGAGTCGAGGTGATAGGTGTTGGCTGATGTCTCCAAATGTGGGAGAAGTCTGTTTCTGTCTTACCTGGGTTAGGCCCATCTTCTGACTCCTTATGGTATATTGAGACTTTCTGGTTCCTTTGGGAGAACGTTTCCATAGCTTTACTTATTGGACTTCTACTCTTGCAGACCTATAGATTCGTTATGTGCAGATTCAGTTACAGGGGAATCTTTTTACACCTTTGAAGAAGAGCCTGAGTGTTTGGACCAGTGCATCAGTGAAGCTGCCATCATAGAAAAGGGGAAGTCACCATGTAGCAAGCACTTTTTAAATTCTTGATTGCCAAATCTTCTTCAAACTTGAGGAAGTATGGCTTTAATTTTTTTCTAAAATCCTATGAGTTTCAAATATTAAAAATTTTCACGTGCTTCTTCTACTATAACCCAAATTAGCTTAGCACTTGAACATCATACCCTTTGGGGGAAAAGCTGATGTTTCCGGATTCTGAACTACTTTAAAAATCTTTCTCTAGGGTAACCCGGGACAAAACAATAACGTCAAAGGACAAAAGGGCTCCAAAGGAGAACAAGGAAGACAAGTACTTTGATCTATTTTATCTACGAGTTGATTAATTCTGTTATTGAGCCAAGTAAATTTAGTAAGATATGTCACTATTCCATAATTGAACAAATGCTCTTAAGACCACATTTAAAAGACCTTTTTTAAAATAATGCATATTTGTGGTAGGTTATACTTTTATGAGCAAAATTAAGAAGTTTCTGGCAAGTGATATTTTTTGGGAAAATGTAGCAGTGCGTGTTGCTATACCTTTGTCTTCTTTAAGGGACGTGTAGAACTGACTGTTAATATGCAGAATCATAGATCATAGCATGACTTTTTTTCGGCTGCTTTAATAATGCTTGAGATTTTGATGCTGAGGCTTTTATGATTTATTCAGAATTTTTGCGTTTTGATCTTGAGGGAACTATTACATTTTTAGGGTAGAAGTGGACAGAAAGGGGTTCAAGGCAGTCCTAGTTCCAGAGGAAGCAGGGTAAGTATTTCCATGGACATTTATTTCCCCTCTTTATCACTTGAAGATGACAGAGGCATTCAGAATATTTGTGGCACAGAGTTGGCTGATTCAGAGCTAATACATTTTTCAGGGTTTCTCAATCTTGACACTACTGGAATGTGGGGCCAGATAATGGTTTCCTGTGAGTGGCTACGCTATGCACGGGCAGCTGTTTGCAGCATCCCTGGTCTCTACCCACTAGTAGCAGCAGCAGCACCCCTCCCCACTGCCCAATTGTGACATTCAAAAATGTCTCCAAATATTGTCAGATGTCTGTGGTGCATATAGGAGGGGTGGGTTTGAGAGGCAAAGTCACCCCGATTGAGAACTACTTTGATATAGTCTGCCTTTCCCTTTCCACCTTCCAGATGTTTTGGGGATGTCTTTGAAGAGAGCCAATGATTTTAACATGAAGGCTCTCCTGTGACAGCTTATATGAGAATATTATGAACTGGGTAAATATACTTTCTCTTGACATGTCGCCAATGAGAAAAAGGACTCACGCATAAATTCTTCCTGAATGGACCAACGCACTGGCAATTAGGGCCAAGTGGCAACCGTGCGGTGCTGGTGTAACTTTACAGCATCCCATATTATATCAAGCCTATCACAGCAAAAAACAGCGACATCGGACTTCTCTATCTCTTTAAGAGGAACAACCAGGAAGTCGCCTTTCCTTCTGTGTACTACTGAAGCTAGAAGTGATATTTATAACGTGTTAAAAACTCCTCTCTCATGCACTCAGCATGGACATCATTAAAAGAGAATAATGGACAAAGTCCTAGATTTGGCTCTGAGTTTCGTTCAAGAAGGAATTGAAATTGCTTGGATTTCTTTTCTATTACAAATTTGGAATCTTCTCATTATTTTGAAGGCTGCGGCTGATTGCCCTTCTCTCTGGGATAGATGGTGAAGAAATGTGCTTTAATATCACTTGCCTTTGTTTATCTTGAACCACAGTTCTTAAAGGAAAAGAGCTGGAGTTGGAATGGGTTAGGCTTCCCAGTGCTTCTGGTAAAATTCTTTGGGACTTTGCCCTCTTCTTCACACAAGGGCATTAAAATGTAATAAGAGGAAGCACTAGAGTGGCAAGATGAGCTAAATGCTATAAATTTTAAAGATAAGTGTGTAGTTTTGTTGGTTGAAGAGGAAAAACTTTTAGTTTGAAATAGCTTTATAACGGATGCATCAATCATGGACTTTTAAAAAAAGAGATGCTAGGGGTGGTGTAGGTGATAAATCCTGGACAAACCAGTCAATACTTTTAAGTCATTCTAAGGACCTGAGGCTCTCGGCCCCCTCCTCATTTTTGACCCATTTCCCTGCCGACCTCCTCCTTTGTCATTTCTTTTTTCCTGAATTAAACAAGGTAACCTTGACGCAAAACAACATCAAGTTTTCTCCCGTCTCCTCCAACTTTCCGATGCAGAACAGAATTCTCTACAAGGGTGGGAACATCTTAAGTGGACGATAAATTTTAAACAACAGAAGCTAATTGAAGACATTACCTTCTGCGTGACAGAATTGCAACTTATGTAAATTAATGGTTGTACCCATTGTTGCCAAAAGAATGGATCCACACACTGAAAACAACACTTGAATCCCTATTCCAGCCTTATGCTTTTCGCCTGCCATACACAGAGAATATTTTTATAGCATCTACTTTATGCCAGGTCCTACTCAAATCACTTTCAAATGTTAATTCATTTAATCCTCATAACATACCTGTGAGGTAGATACTATTATTATATCCATTTTTCACAGATGGAAAAGTCAAGAAACCCTGGGCAGCTTGCCCAAGGTCATAAGAGCTGTGAGTGTCATAGGTGGGATTTGAACTCAGTCTTCTCCCTCCAGAGTCCGGGCTGCTAACCACGCTGGGTGAGGCTTCCTGGGCAATTTCCCTGTGCCACACAGGCTTTAAAGAACAGAACTGAGCTCAAGGCTGCCTAACTTTTAAGGACATCTCTCTCACCACTGTGCGTATAGTTCGTTACACAGAATAAACATTGTTTTATCCTTGTTTTAATGAAGACAGAACTGTGATGTCATAGAAACCTTAACCTCAATCTTTGTTTACTGTTTCTTCTTGGCTTTTTTGTGTCATGAGCTCTGGAAGTTGATTTTGGGTACAAACAGCTGCAAAGTTTCAATGGGTAACTTCTTTCAAAGAGTATTTGCATCTTAAAAGCAAAAAGTACCTTACATCAAGGGGCGGAACCTCAACGGAAACATTTTAAGCAACAGCCAACCCGGTGGACCTGACACGTGGTCCGGTAGTTTATTCTAAGGAACTTTGGAAGGCCGGCAGTTGAAAGAAAACAGCAGTTCTGAAATAATGTCCATGGCTACCTTTCTGAATAAATGAATGAAGAAATAGAATTTTTTAAAAAAATACTTGCTTTGTGTCTAAAATAATCATAGTTGCTTATCACAACACTAAGTGAATTGGTGGTCGAGATGTCCCACAGCTCTCTCAAAGAGGCAAGGACGGGGTTTGGGCGGGGTGGGGGTGGGGTGGTTATGAAGATGTAGATCTTATCCTTGCTGTTTAGAGATACGGAAGTTAGGATCTGGGGCCTGAATCTCTTTTCCCACTTGGCTACACTCTGGAAAGGAGAGGGCGTGACAACCCCTAGGTAGAGAGCCTGAGCTGACAACGTGAACTCGCTTCTGGATGGGCTTCAGGCATCAGCCCGGCTTTTTTGTGCTCTGTTGAACCTAGTGGTAGCCATTTGGACATTTGGATCACCATAGTTGAGCAGACCCCATCAGCCATTTATTTCTTGTAAAATTCCACGGAGACTAGCCCCGGTGGACCCCTCCGAGACACTGTATCTAGAAATTTTTACCTTTACCCAAGATGCAATCAGGGGCCCAGGACAGCGAGAAATGGATGTGCCACAGCTCCTCTCGCATGGGAAGCCTCTGATTAGCAGACAGTGCGTTTTTGGAATTTGCCAGAGAGGGAGATACAGAAGACAGGATCTTCAGGATGATTTGATTCTCTGAACAGCCTCCTGGATAATTGTTAGAGGCTGTCAGACTGGAGCTGTGTCTGTAATGACTTTTAGATTGGTTTGCAATCAATCCCCCAAATGTTAGTCTGTAATTAAGTGCCCCGTGTGAAAGCTTGTCTCTGGAAAGTGCCTCAGGGAAACTGCTTCTGTGAGCTGCTCATTACTTATGTCTATCAGAGAACGAAAGAGGCTGCTTTGCCTCAAGGAACCCCTCTATTCAGACATCCACATACTAACGCTTTGCCTTTTCTGTTCCAGGGAAGAGAAGGCCGCAGGGGACTCCAAGGTGCCTCGGTAAGTGACCTTGACTTCCGGTCCTCTGTGGTTGATAGGACCAAGGAGGTTTCTCCCAAGTAGGCGATGCTGGGAATCAAATCAATGAGCACTGGACAAGGGTATAGGAAGCACCCAGTACTGGATGTGATTCTCACCGACCCAGCCATCACTGCAACTCCCAGGAACAGAACAGACCTGAGGCAAAGCCTCCCTGATAGACACCTGGTAGACAAGCAGAACCCGTGCAATTCCAAATATTGTGCATTTGCCTGCTTTTCACGTGCTTTGGGAATCAACTGCAAGAGAGAGAAATTCCTTATTGGAATAAGAAACAAGTTTCTGTTCATTCCTTAGACAGTCTGGAAGAGTAAAATCCTAGGCCAAGTAGAAGGTGGGCCACGAGTCAGACAAAATAGTACCTGTTTCCTATGTCAAGACTATAAAGAGAAAATCTATATGGAAGCAACGTGTAGAAAATCTTGACGCTGGAAACTCTTGTTCGTCAGGGAGAACCAGGAAATCCTGGACCTCAAGGCACATTGGGAGCCGAAGGATTACAAGGCCCACAGGTGTGTTGGAATGTTTTGTAAATACTGATGAATTCTGTGAGGTTATTCTGATGGGAAGAAGGCAGGTATTTCTGTGTAAAAATAAATAACTGAGAATCTACCCCCTGCCCTATTTAGCATTCCCCATTACGGGATGGAGGTTGATTTTGTTTCGTCAAACCTGCTTCATTGTTTGCAGGTCACTAACAAACCTTTGTAGAGGAAAGATATGCTCTTGTGCTCACCTGGTGTTGTGTCTTCATATTAGTAATAGTGAATTATTAATACCTTCGTATTACATTAGTAATTAACGCCAGGATCAGCAAATTGGTTTTCCGTAGCTGGGGTCCTGCATACATACACCAGCTCCCACAAAGGAAAATTAGTTGCAAGTTGGAAACTACTACTCAATTTTGGCTAAAGCTAACTCTACAGGGGTATCGGTGCTTCTGGAATATGACTGACAGGGCTTTCTGTGAGCCATTTACATCTTTCGTGGTCATATCATTAGTCATATGAGCATTGGAAGTCAGGGTATTGTTGCCTTGCTTCCCTCCATGCCAGAAAGAAGCTGTGGTCATTCTGAAGAGTGGCTTTATAACACATGGTTGTTTAGTCGCCTTATGATGCCCACTTTACATGAAGCCCAACTTAAGCCTGGACTTGTCTGGAAGGGCCTTATGTGGCTGTGCCTATTCTAAGGTCTTCCCAGAAAGTTCAGATATTAGGACCAAACTGGAATTTGGGATTCTCTTGAGTGGTTCTGGGGTTGCTGAACCAAACCATGAGCTAGCAGTTTCTCTAGATTAGGTATGGATGGGACCAGCCTAGATCCATTCCCAGGCTTTGGGGTGGACGTGGAGGTGGCGATGATAGTTACATCAGATACCTCAGATACCCAAGGGTCCCACTGACACTGAGATAGTGAATCAAACCTTACTTGGTGACTTCCGGGCAGCCCAGGGCCCTTTCACAGCTGGTACTTCGGTGGGAAGAAACGCTACTGCCACCTCTAGTTTTGGCTTCTGTGTGAGAGAATCATAGGAGAACCATATGTTTGTTGGCAAATATGGCAGAAAACTAGACTTTGATTCCTCTGATAGGGATCTGCTGCTAAGATGTCCTTTTGTGCTAACTTGAAACCACTTTACTGTCTATTTTACACATTAATAAGTGCTTTGGCTCAGGTAACCTGTCCCTTTAAAGGAATTCATCTAACTGTTGTTTGTGTCTTACTTCTTTTTCTTATAGGTTTCATTTCCTGCTTTGGCCTATTTTTATTTCCCCTGTAGGACAGGGATGAAGGTCTGTTACCCAGGCAGAGAATTCCTTTAAAAGATCTGGACCACTGAGTCCACTGGGCCTGTCCTCATTTACTCTTAATACATGCTTAATCTCAGGGTTAAAAGGTTGTGGGAAGGCTGGGCACCGTTGCTCATGCCTGTAATCTCAGCACTTTGGGAGGCTGAGGCAGGTGGATCACGAGGTCAGGAGATCGAGACTATCCTGGCCAACATGGTGAAAATCCCGTCTCTACTAAAAATACAAAAATTAGCCAGGCATGGTGGCAGGCACCTGTAGTCCCAGCTACTCAGGAGGCTGAGGCAGGAGAATCACTTGAACCCAGGAGGCAGAGGCTGCAGTGAGCTAAGATCATGCCAGTGCAATCCGGCCTGGGTGACAGAGTGAGACTGTCTCAAAAAAGAAAAAAAAGGCTGCAGAAAGGGTTGGATCACTGCTTTTCTGTAGGGTGTTTCAAAAGCACTGACTGGGAAGTAAGCTTTCGCTGAAATCTTTGCATTGTGTTTCTTTTGTTACCACCAAAGGGGTCACAGGGAAATCCTGGCAGGAAAGGAGAAAACGGAAGTCAGGGACACCAAGGACCTCAGGTGAGTGACTCACAGACATTAAGCTCAGTGACTCTCAACCGTTATTCTCTTAACTGCGAAGCATCTTTACATATGACTTTTATATTATTTACATATACGTCATTTTATTTTTGGATCGTCTGGGGCAAGATTTTAACACAGCTCAGATTCGTCATACATAGCTAAAGCACTCCTCTTTCTCCTTCACTGAGGTTTTGCTCTGAAAGCACAGATCCATTTCATTAGGCTAACGAAAGCATTTGGAAGAAAACAAATATTGTCCAATCATAACATTTCCTCCAAAAACTGATCCGTTGTTCTGATTTTTCTAACTTTTAAAATTTATATGTGCCATGCCTATATATCTCCGTTGACCGTAGATATTTGAAATTGACTGTACAAAGATCCCTGTCTACTCAAACCTATTTGATTCCTACATCCACTTCTGAATCTGTTTGTTTCCTCAGAAATAGTAGTTTGGATCAGGCGTCCCCAAACTACGGCCCGCGGGCCGCATGCAACCCTCTGAGGCCATTTATCCGGCCGCCCGCCGCACTTCAGGAAGGGGCACCTCTTTCATTGGTGGTCAGTGAGAAGAGCACAGTATGTGGCGGCCCTCCAACGGTCTGAGGGACAGTGAACCGGCCCCCTGTGTAAAAAGTTTGGGGACGCCTGGTTTGGATGGTGAAGGATTTGTAGGAAGAATGTTCTAAATCTATTCAGTTCTGCTCAGACAGCAAGAGTTCACAAGGCAAGGGATACCCATATTCCTATATTCCTGGCATGTGTGGTCAGCTATCTTTCTGCTAATATGTGTGTGAAAGACACTGCTGTCCATTCTTTTATGGGGAAGCTGCAACATATCCCGCATGCCATTATGTACATGCATATGGTACGGCGCGCAAAGGTGGCAGCAAAGTGTCTTGTTCTAAAAAAAACTCAGTACATGATGACAGTTCTCCCACATTTGGAAATAATAGCATGTGTTGAGTCAAGGGTGCTTCTCCTTTTCTCACTAAGCCCCATATGGACTCGTGATGTCCCTGCAGATTAAAACATGTGGTCCTCTAACTCGGACTGGAACCTGAGTCATCTGGTTCAGCCCTGCCATCTGCCTCTGTCCCGGGTGGCTGGATCTGTTGTTAAGGCCGCATCAAGGGGTTGCTGGGAAGAACCTGAAGGAAAGTGAAATGTTTCTAGTGGGCTTTCTAAGAATTACTATGGTGCCAACTTTTTAGTCTCTCATTTTTTTTTTTTCAGGGTTCTCCTGGGCTAATGGGAGCTAAAGGGAGCATTGGAAGACCTGGGCTTTCAGGGAAAAAAGTAAATGTTATTTCTTTTTTAAAAAATTATTTTAAAAAACATTGCATTTTTATTGGATAATTAATAATTGCATATATTTATTAGTTATGATGTGATATTTTCTCTTTTTTAACTATAGTTCTGGGATACATGTGAGATGTGTAGGTTCGTTACATAGATATGCATGTGCCATGGTGATTTGCTACACCCATCAACCCATCATCTAGGTTTTAAGCCCCACATGCTTTAGGTATTTGTTCTAATGTTATCCCTCCCCTTTTCCCCCATCCTCTGACAAGCCCTGGTGTGTATGCTCCCCTCCCTGTGTCCATGTGTTCTCATTGTTCAACTCCCACTTATGAGTGAGAACACGCAATGTTTCGTTTTCTGTTCCTGTGTCAGTTTGCTGAGAATGATGGTTTCCAGCTTCATCCATGTCCCTGCAAAGGACATGAACTCATTCTTGAAAAAAGTAAATGTTATTTCTTATGGATTTTAAGTACAAAAGTATCTCCATTTTCTTCTGGATTTTCATGTTAATTCCTCACATGATTGAATCTAAGCACCATCAGCAAGTCACCAGCCTTCTGCTGTGTTCTCTTCCTTCCATTGCGCAAAGAGTTTCTAACTGCTGACCTCTCCATGAAGCTGCTCTGTTTCCCTGGGAGAGAGTGATCTCACCCATCAGAAACAACTTTAAAAGATCTCTATCACTCCCTGATTTCCTGAAGCCAAGAATGCACATGGTGGCTGTGTGAGTGGAGGATGGGTGGCGTCAGAACTCAAATCTATTTGTGTATGCGGCTCTTGAAGCAGAACTGCTATCTTTGAGGTGGTTCTGCTGGGAATCGTCAGAGAGCAAACTGTTGACCTCATCAGAATCTGACTCCCCTGTTTAAAATCTTTCAGTGCCCCTGTCTCCAGGTGCTGTGACGTGTGCAGCTACACAGGTGGCCTTGCTGAGAAGAACCCCTTGCTGAGTTTAATGCTCTGCTGTCATGGGCTTGAATCTCATTTTTTAAGCAAGGGGCCTGAGTGTTTCTTGTACACGGAGCCCAGCAAATTATGTTGTGGGTCTTGCCTTTCCCATGGCCTCCATGAAAATCTTCAAACTTTAAGGTAGTTATAAGATTAATAAATTCTGGGGAGCTAATGCATAACATGGCGACTGTAGTTAACAATAACTATGGTGAAAATTGGATACTCGATATTTTTCTAAGAGAAATCTTAACTGCTCTCAACATAAAGCAAAAAGAAAAAGTGGTAACAAGGTAAGGTGATAGACACAGTACCTAATTTGACTGTGGCAATCGTTTACAATGTATGTGTATATCAAATCATCATGTTGTACACCTTAAACATATGCAACTATGTGTTAATAAGGTGTGCAATCATTTACAAGGCGATTTGCTATTGGCCTCATTTAATTCTAAGGTTTCACTCCTCACCTCCCTCCTGCGAGCCTGCCTCAGGCCTCTCACCAGTGCCTTCCCTCTTCCTGGATCACTGTCACCCCTTCCTTGCCGGGTGCCTTGACAGACAACTCATCCTTCAGTCCTCGGCTTCTCTGCTCTTTTCCTTGTGGCAGCCTCCTCCGGCCCGCCACATCTGACTTAGAGTTCCCTTCTGTTTGTCCCGTAGTACCCTGAACTTTATCTCACAATATTATGATTGCCTGTCTAATTATTTCTCTTTCCAGCCAGGTGAAGGCAGGCCTACCCCTAATACATTTCTTTTCCAGTTCAATAAGTAACTGTTGGATAGGCAAATGCATCAGCAAATGACCAGCCTTCCCTGGAGTTAATTTTCTACTCTTTGCCTTCGCCTTCAGTCCTTTCATAACACTGGAAAACCAGCACACCCCAGTCCAGCTCTGGGCTGTGCTAGGCACCTTCTGCTCGCTATTGAAAAAAACATTATTTGTACCCTACTCTCATCCCCTTAGTGAGCACTGACCCCTCACTGAGAACCTTGAGTCTCCCTATCGAGTGGGCGGGACTTTCCATGGTAGGAACCAGGTTTGATTTTACTGATCTGAAGCTCTTCTTGTCCCATTTACTAGGGAGAGCCTGGACTTATTGGAGATCCAGGGCCAGTGGGGCAAGATGGGCAGCGAGGAAGACAGGTAAGAAGTTTCGAAGCCCCTACCCTTCCCGGGTCCAAGTATTCGGTTCCAAGGTAAAGAGAAGGGGTTGACACCATCAGCTCAAGTGTAGGGGGGGGTGGAAGGTATTTCAGCATCTAGGAAGATGTGAGAACATTTCTGCCACCCCCTAGAGCTGTCATTCCATAGATAGTCTGTCAAAGTGAAGGGGAACAGCAAGCAGGAGAAGACGGGTATGCAGAGAGGATAATGGATGAGTTAGAACAGGGCATTTCAATACTTTAACAACAGGTATGGCCACATAGTTGCATGTCCATTGAAAAACAACACTGTCTGTTTCTCTTCCCTTCTTGCAAAAGTCTAGGGTGACAATGAGAGATAGAGGAATAGGGCATTATTAGGCCTGCATTCTGACTTCATGGTTTTGGCTGTACCAAGATCTCGGCTCAGGGAGCAGCCGGTATAGGAACAATTATTTTATTTTTTAAAAATTAATGTTTATTACAAATGTTATACATAGATATCATAGAAAATTTACCAAGCACAAACATTATTCATAATAGCCAAGAAAATATAGAATCAACCTAAGTATCCATCAATGGATGAATGGATAAAGAAAATGTGGTGTATATGCATAATGGAATACTATTCAGCCTTTAAAAAGAAGAAAATCTGGTCATTTGTGACAACAAGAATGAATCCAGAGGAATTCTGTGAAGCGAAATAAACCAGGCATGGGAAGATAAATATAACAAGATCTCACTTACAGGTGAAATGTAAAAAAAAAAAAGTCAAGATCATAGAACAGACAATTAAATGGTAGTTACCAGAGGTGGTAACTGGGGAGTGTTGGCCAATGTATACAGAATTTCAATTAGAAGGAATAAGTTCAAGAGATTTATTGTATATCATGGTGACTACAGTTAATAACAATATATTGTATATTTGAAAATTGCAAAAAAAAAAAAAAGAAAAAAAAAGAAAAAAATGGGAAGTAAACATAAGGAACCAGAAGCTTACAGGAGAACAGATGATGAGGGCATAGCAAGGCTCTGACTTGTGGCTATACCCCACAATCCGTTGCCTCCATAAAGGCTTCCAATCTTCCTTTATTGCAATTTCTATCCATAAAATTAAATGCTTGTAGAGTGGTTCACCAAGTCTTAAAACGTATCTATCTGTTTATGTGATCTAATTTGACAACATGAATCTAAAAGGGAAGGAAGGCAGGCAGGAAGGGAAGGGAAGGGAAGGGAGGTGGGAGGAGGGAGGGCGGGGAAGAGAGAGAAGGAAAGAAACCCAGAATAAAAGATGGGAAAGAGGGAAGAAAATAAAAATCACTTGTAATCCACCATTGTTGAGATAGTTATCATTAACATCATGGAAAATTTTTAAAAATCACTCTAAACAGTGTATCATGAGCAGATTTTCCTGTCGTTACCTTTTTCCCTCAACATGCTTTTTAGTAGCTTCAAAATACTCTACTAAATGCGTAGACCTTCATTTATTTGACCAGTCTCTTGTTGTTGGTTATTTAGCTTGCTTTCAGTTTTTCACTGCCATAATCAACACAGCAATGATACCTAACTAAAATTTTGGACAAAACCATAATGAATTTCTACATAGAGGTTTCTAAAGTAGGTCAAAGAATATGTATATGTTTCATAAAGGCTTTTAACTCCACTATGGAGCGCCCTTGGGAACATTCAAACAGTATGTGCATCCATGTGTTACTCAGGAGAGTATTTGTTTTAGGGCATCCACAGCAACACGTATTGTCACTTTTTTCCATCTTTACCATTGACAAAAATAGTATCTTATTGCAGGGTCAAAGTTGCATTTTTTTGGTTACCAGTGAGGATGACCATTTTTTCTGTTTGTCTATTGACCATTTATAATCCTTCTTCAGGGAATTTCTCACCTGTACTGTTTGGACCAGCTCCTAATTTTCGAGGCAAGAAATTGCCACTGACTCCACAAGTCCCGAATGAACACCTCTCTGCTTCCTGCAATGTTTACAGAATGGAGCTGGTCAGAGAAGTACAGGGGACATATCAGGCAGTGAGGAAAACGCAGCAACACCATGTTCCCAGGGTTCAAGGTCAATTAGGCCCCTTCTGCGTGGACATCCCCAGTGCTTCTCTTCCAACGCTGTAATCTCCCCAGTATAGGTTATAATTAATTTCCTTTTGAGAAACTGAAATAAAGTGGTGTGTTTACAGGGAGATTCTGGCATCCCAGGCTATGGTCAGACGGGACAAAAAGGAGTTAAGGTAAATATGGAAAGCAATTATTTTTTAAATTGGTGAATCAAACTAAATAATACAAGAAGAAATGATCATACTGCAGAAGTGATGTGTTGATGTATTTCTGTTCTGTGCTGAAAATTATAGGGCCCAAGAGGATTCCCTGGAGATGTGGGGCAGAAGGTATTGTGTGCATGACCTTTTGAAATTCCCTTGATCTTAACCTTCTACTTGAGAACTAAGATAAACCTGTAGGTCTGAATGAAATGGAGGCAATGAGGAGGAGCCCAGGGCAGGTGTTTTCCTTGGGCTTCATGAGGAAAGAACCATATTTAACCCCTATGAATCTTCACCTTGGAAAAGATTGTTCTGTCCATCGTTGCCTGATGTCTCTGCCTTGAAAGCCTACCTCCAGGTATCCTCTAAAGTTTAGTCTTCTGTTCTCCTTTGGATTTTCTGCCGTGGTGATTTCATTCAATTCTCTCGGCTTTTGTTTTTGCTATTTCTTCTTCATTATTGTGCACTTTATTTCCTCTCACCTGAAAGATTACAATGTCTTTCTAATCAGGTTCCTACTTCCATCTTCTCCCTGATTCAGTTAATCCCAAACACGACTGTCACTTGATTTTTTCCAAAGTGTAGCCAAATTACACCACTTTCCTAGTCAAACATCTTCGAGAATTCCTCATTGCCTGCCAGATTGAAATCCATCTTCATGCTGTAGAAACATACATACCTTTCATTTTAACCAAGTAGGTCAAGTTTTATCTGTTTTATACACTGGAATTCTGTAAAAAGATCTTCCTTTAAAAAAAAATACCCAGAACAATGTCTTCCATATAATGGAAGATGTTTATATTAAAATACAAAATATGGGTTAAAAATTAGAATGTCTAATTAATCAAATAAAGCATAAGAAAACTGTCAAATGTTGAATCCTCTTAAAACTGTTTTTACAGCCGGGCACGGTGGCTCAAGCCTGTAATCCCAGCACTTTGGGAGGCTGAGGCGGGTGGATCACGAGGTCGAGAGATCGAGACCATCCTGGTCAACCTGGTGAAACCCCGTCTCTACTAAAAAATACAAAAAATTAGCTTGGCGTGGTGGCACGTGCCTGTAATCCCAGCTACTCAGGAGGCTGAGGCAGGAGAATTGCCTGAACCCAGGAGGCGGAGGTTGCGGTGAGCCGAGATCGCACCATTGCACTCCAGCCTGGGTAACAAGAGCGAAACTCTGTCTCAAAAAAAAAAAAAAAAAAAAAAAAAAAAAAAAAAAAACTGTTTTTAATGAATGAATTACCAAAAGAGATGCTTAAATAGGAAAGGGTGAAAAAGGAACAATATAAATCACCATTAGGAAGAAAGTCATCATGGTAGAGGATCAATTTTCAAATTTACTGATAAAGGGAGAAAATTAGCATATTTCAACTTACTGATAAATGTGAAATAAGCACATTGATAAATAACTGTCAAAGTTAGTTTACCATCAAAGTCAGAATAAATTAATTTCACCTTCAACTTTTTCATAAGTGTTTTATGAATTTAGAAAGTAATTCATTCTTTATTATTTCACGTAGTCAATACTCCAAATGTTTTTCTGTGTTTTCAAGCATTTTCTTTGGATATTTTTAGTAACTGGATGACCACTGAATTCATAGGTATATGTAAATATTCATATTGTTTGAAAAATTAAAAATAGTTTGCAGATTGAGTGTACCAATGACTTAGTTCCAAATGATAGGAAAAGATGAAAGATGACATTTAATTTGTATTGGCCTTCATTCATATACAACATAATTGTCATAATATCAATGAAGTTTTGAGTTCAGAGAGGTTTTTAAAATTCTTTCATGGCAAATATTTTAACATCTTGACTTTTTAATATCTGAATCTTCAGGGTGACATTGGTGATCCCGGAATTCCTGGCGGACCCGGACCGAAAGGATTTAGAGGACTAACAGTGAGTGGCCTATAATTCCAGAAATGATGAATATTCCTTTGGCAGACTTTGGCTTTCATGTTATGTTAAACGTGGATTATCGATTCAGCCCGAGGGCATCTGAAATGCCACTTGCTGGCTGTGACCTTCAACACATCTTTTCAGGATCTCTATTTCTGTAACCTAAGAATTGTCACTTAGTCACATGTAAGGTCACATCCAGCTCTAAAAGTTTATGGTTCAATGAATCAGAACCATTTTAAAGATTTACAAATTGATAACTTGCTGTTCCGAGAAATTTCACTGCCTTCCAGTCTTTTCTAAGGCGCATCTTAAATCCTGGCATATTAACCCTCTGAGTGGAAATGAAGGTGACAGTGGGAAGGTGTCCTTCCCACTGTGTCCCTGTGGGTTTCTGATGATTCCACTATCCATCACAAGGTCATATGCGCTATTTTGAAGAAGGCTATTGAGATCTTCTAATTAGCAAAGTACAGAGTAGAATATTGTGCTTACTTAGAAGCCAAATGCTGAGACAAGCATCCTTTCATTTTAAAGTTTGAGTGCCATATCAGAGGTCACCATCGGTGTGAAAAAAGATGCAATTCCCTGGATACTTTCCATCTGGCTGGATAAATTTTGTTAGTATCCATATGCATCACATGGAGGTATGGGAATGACGTAGTCCACTCATGTCTTCTTACATGTGTGGGGAATCATTTTTCTTATTTGAACTTTTACAGATGGGAGGTTTCTTATTAGATCTCGGTGTACCCTCGTATATTTGCATTTCCTATTAGCACCAATCCCAATTTATGGCTAATTAAGATGGAAATGCACAGCCAGTGCCAGAACAAAGTATGTCACTATTAAAGAGGCTCGGAGGGAAATGGATGCTTACCAGTCATTAAGAATATATTGTTTATATCACAAGTAAGCTATTTACCTGACTTCAGTTAATAGCTGCTGTCTTTTTAAAATAATTTTTTTTTAAATTAGGAAGTCTTATTAAAGCTGAAGTAGTCCCCATGGATAGACGATGTTGAAACTAATATATTAACATATTCCTATCTGCAGCTCTCTGTAGGCTTGAAAGGTGAAAAGGGATCTCGAGGACTCCCAGGCCCTCCTGGAGCGAGAGTAAGTATACCCGTAAGAACTGAGTAGGATATAGTTGTTTCCAGTATGTTCCATGGAAAGGGCATAGAATTTAAAGTCAAATGCTCTCAGTTCAAGTCCAGATTCTGCTTTTTACCAGCTGTATGACCCAGTCACTGGGTCTTTCAGTGCATTTCTAAAATGAGGGGATGACGTATTCTATCCTGACTACCTCAGAAGGTAGCCATGAGGATCAGATGATCAAATGTGAACACTCTTTGTAAACTATAAGGTTTACAAATAGTAATGTTGTGTTGCAAAATAATTAATAGTAAGTAATGGTAGTTGTTTTTCCTAGGGCATTAATTGTTAATATTTGCATTGCACTTTCTAGTTTACAAAGTGATTTGTTACTGAAGCTTTTAAAATAGGAATAGGATTGCATAAGCTACACAGTGGTGTCCCGGCAAAGTTATGTCATGGAAGACAGGTTAATGGAGTTTACCAAAACCGCTGTTGTTGCCTTCCTATCCTCAAAATTTAGACTTCGGAGGTATTTGGAAATATAGGTGCAACATCCCTCTATGATTCTATTACAAGAAAAATGGCAACTCTGGAAGCATTCCCAGGTAGAGTCAGGTATACCTTCCACTGACAAAATAGCCATCTCTCTATTTTAGTGCCTCTCCGGTTGTTGTAATGATTTATTTACATATCTGTCTCCCCTAACAAGCACAGTCAGGTGAGAATTCAATATTCCGAGCACCTGTGTTTAGTGGTGGCCCCAGGCAATGTTGTGTAAGGAGTAGATAAGCTGCTTATCTTGTTTTGTGCATTGTGTTTTCTGATTTCTTGAAGAGGTTCTTGAACTTGGGACTTTATTAAGGAAACAAAAAACATGAATGGTTTTGTGGACAACCGAATCCGTATTAGAATGAAAATCAGCTAACTGTAACGATACTCTGATACAATATTTACTTTCTTCAGCATTAAGGAATGCATGAATAGTATAGTCCTATATACGCAAATATATTAAGAATCATAGCTAAGGAGAAGCTTGATCCTAATGAATGGGAATAAGGAGAAAAGAGAAAAGCTCAAGCTGCTGAGAAAGAAGGACTGACTTCTTTCAGGAAGTGTTCCCTGATTCATCTCACTCAATTATTTATATTGCTTTGCTTCATAACCACTTGGCATTTATGATCTTGTTGTAATGATTTAGTTCCATGTTTGTAACTCCTCTTTTGTGTAATGTTTATTTATTTTGCTGTGTAATTGTCTTTGGGTCTTTCTCACATGTAGAGGCTCTCACTTCCTCTGTTTTATACTCTCGATGGGTAATAGAACTGTTCCTCTGAATTCTCAATAAATCCCTCTCCTTGGCACTGCCCTTTGGAAAGTCTGCTGTTTATCATTTTAAGCATTCTTATGAGAAATGCCTTCTTCTAAGTATGACATCTTTAGTACAAATATCTTGAAGGACCTTTGTTTCTTCTTATCACTGAAGAAAAATAATTTCATTAACTTTGGGTAGACATTAGCTTACCGGATCTAACATTGAAACAAAAAATTTACACCCTTGATGTCAGTAGGGAAAACGTATGGCAATATATTAAGGAATATTTTAACTATTCTCTACCAGCTGTACTTTTAAGAAAGAAAGGTTTTTTTGGTTTTATCTTGTTTTATTACTAAAGACGTCAGTTTATTGCTAACTTGCTCTGCTTTTGTTTTTCCTAGGGCATTAAAGGCATGGCAGGGCAGCCTGTATATTCTGTATGTATCTCCTTATTTATGAAAGATATCTCAGATATCTTTATTGGGTCAACTGTATTCATGTTTCTTTTCTCTCTCCTTTTTCAACATTTACAGCAATGTGATCTGGTCCGGTTTTTGCGGGAACATAGTCGTAAGTATCTGTTATGGAACAAGAACATCCATCAGTAGTTGGTAAAGCACTTAGGATTGTATGCATTGTGGGTACGTGAGATCAGTAGGCTGAGTTCACTGGTGAGAAGCCTCTGTAACAAGCCTGCCTAGAGTGCCTGCTGTAGAACATCTCACATTAAAGGAGAGAGGAAAGAGGGTATAAGTAAAAGTGCCTTCGCTCATGAGGGGCGATGCAGACATCAAGAGAAAACATGCATATGGGAAAGTCAGAGAAAAACTCAAAAGGTATATGAATTAACTCACATTCGTGTAACAGTTAAGAGTAAAAGGACTGGGAGGACATGGTGTTAAAGGGGTGATCACGGTGGTTTTGGACTCGTTGGTTAGTTACTCATTTAATAAAGGATGTTTGTATGGAGGTAATTGAATCCAGCCCTGGGAAAGTGATGGGCATGGCGAAAGATAGTATCATCAAAGGCATAAAGCAGGAGTGAACATAAAGAGGTTGTCTTTGGTGATAAAGAAGGAAAAATAAAGTAGAAAAGTCCAATGATCTCATTTCTGAAAGTCTGTCCCAAGGAAATACAGCAAAATGAAAAAAACATAGGTAAATATGATTGTTGAAACATTATTTACTAGAGCAAAATGATTATACATTAGACTGTTTACACTTATAGAAAAATTAGGTTACAATACATTATATTCTGAGAAAATATTAACCAAATATAGTTTCTATAAAGACAATCAAAATTTGAAAAAAACAGGCATTAAATATTTTACAATGAAATTGAATCCTCATTATTTTTGCATGTAGTTTAATATATACATGGAAACAAGCACTAGAAGCAAAAGTAGAAAACAATCATTTACTCTGTTCTAGTGGGTGGAATTTTAGGAGATCTGTCTTTTTTCATTATGCTTCCACTGTGGTTTTAAAATAATCACAATCAGAAGAATGTAAAAGGGGAAAATCAGAGACTTTACTGAAGGAGACTAGATAAAAATGTTGTCACTGCAAGTATGTGAGAAGGGAAGAACAATACAAAGCAGATTTAGAATGACTGTCAGGCTAGCGAGGGAGGGGCTGAGTGTCACCGAGGAGGAATAAGCCCAAGAGGAATTGCGAAGGGAAATCAACTGGTTGGAGAAGATGATGCGTTTACGTATTTTGGAGGTGGAGTAATGTTGTGTAGACCCTACATGAAATTATTGACCCCGATGAAATGGGGCTTTCATAAAGGTGAGGGAAGGAGACTCAGATGTTGAAGTCAGTTAGTACTGGTGGTCCTTAAAAATACATGGATGAGCCGGGCGCGGTGGCTCAAGCCTGTAATCCCAGCACTTTGGGAGGCCGAGGCGGGTGGATCACGAGGTCAAGAGATCGAGACCATCCTGGTCAACATGGTGAAACCCCGTCTCTACTAAAGGTGCAAAAAATTAGCTGGACATGGTGGCGCGTGCCTATAATCCCAGCTACTCAGGAGGCTGAGGCAGGAGAATTGCCTGAACCCAGGAGGCGGAGGTTGCGGTGAGCCGAGATCGCGCCATTGCACTCCAGCCTGGGTAACAAGAGCGAAAACTCCGTCTCAAAAAAAAAAAGATACATGGATGGATGAGGTTTCTAAAAATGTAAAGCTAGAGAGTCAGAAACAGAAACTCAAGGAGTGGGGCCAAGGTATGGCAAAGTGACATTCCCGAGATGGGAGCTCCTGCCAAATGTGGGCAGCTTGAAGGGACGCAAGAGGGAGGAGGCGATGGAGACGATTCAAAGGGAGGGGATAGCGGGAAAGGCCCTTCAGCATGCAGGAGGAGGGGAGAACTAGGGGCTGGAACCATAGGGAGAGAAAAAGGGAAGAACCATTGTAGGAGAAATGAGGGTGGGATCAACCTTCCTCAAGGTGTTGCCAGTGTTCTCAGATCAAATAATATCTTCCCAAAGACCAGAGGTAGGTGGGGAGGTGAGGACCAGCCTTGGAGGGTTTGGGATTTGAAGGGAGAAGTTTGCCAACATTCTAACTACTCTTCCCTGTTTTACTCTCAACCACCTTATGGCATAAAAGGAGTTAGTGCATAAATCAGCAGGTCAGGGAAGAGTAGGCAAGTTCTGTAACCATACAGGGCACTGACTGGATAACACAGAACTCCAGGATACAGACCAGAGATGAAGATGCAGGTGACAAGCCCTTAGAGGTGATCTAAATGGCCTCACTTTATAGGGGACGTTTCCAAGGCTTCTCATCTAACATGATTTGCTTCTCAGTCCAGTAGCAGCTCTGGGACACACAGGGATGAGGGCCAGGCTGAGACCCTCTTTGGAAAATGAAAGAAGGTGTCTAGAAGGCTGGGGGAAATTAAGAGAGAAAGGGGGTGGTTTAGAATAAAACAGAAGGGTCCAAGTGATTAGCATTTTGGAGGGAGATACATGAGTAAAGGTTTTTAGGGAAAACCAACTTTAAAAGAAAGAAATTGCTCAAAAGAGTTTAAGTAATCTCCTCCTAAGTCACCCAGCTTTGCTGGACTCAAACCCAGCAGGTGTGTCTGCTTCTAGAGCCTGTGCTTGAAGCCTTGCAGCGGGGTTTGAAGTTAACACATGGTAGTACTCAGCCAGGAAAGAGGGGTCTGTTTTGACCCTCCAGATGCAAAGGAGGCTGTGGTTATGTGTGCTGTCTGAGGGCAGTTAGCGCCTCAGTGGCCATGGGGTTAAGACAGACAAGAGGTGTTCACAGGGTGGATGGCAGACCAGTGCTGCGTGACAGCAAGACAGAAGGCTGGTGTGTTGCCAGTGTTCACAATATTTTTTATTATATTTGAGTGACTCATTTGCTTCCTAGGAATCGAGTGAAATGAACATGGAAATTGTCAGGCCTGTGATCTCTTAAAGATGTACCAATACTTGCCCTGATTCCTCTCAGTTTTACAGAGTAAATCAGTTAGAGAAACCAGATGCTGTTTTGCTCAGGAGAAACCCTTGAGGTTTTTTTCTTCCTCCCTCTGGTGGTTGAGATCACTCAAACAGAGGAGCTGTATTTTTTATCAAAGACAAAATTCGCTTGGAAATCCCCCCATGGTTCTATGGGAAAATAAAGGCTCCCAAGGTAGTCGTCAGGGAAGAAAATAAGACCACATATTTTAGCCTTTCGTTGCCAAATGACTCTCAGAAGGCTATGAGATGAGAGACAAAACAAATTGAATTTCAGCTATCTTGCCATTTGATCAGAGGCTCATCTATTTTTGCTTCTAAGACGAGTGATCAGTGTTTTGGTTTCAACCAAAATTCTGCTAAAGTCTGCTGGCTGTGGCTCACGAATGGAAAAGTTTAGGAAGGCTCACAAATTAATAAAATTTTGTTGACACCTTCCTCAATACTTTAACCTAGGCTTCCTATAATTTAAGAATTAGCCTCATTTGCAGTTAGACTCAAATAACATTTTCAGCTTTGTTAAAATGTTGCTTTTTGGATTATTTTTAGTCTTGTTCCAAGAACATAACAATCTTTTCCCTCTCTCCTTCTCACAGCTTGCTGGACAGGTGAGTATTCTTACCATGATCTTCCCTACTGAGGTCATCACTGCATCCTGACAAGACCAATCGGAAAGGAGCCCTCATCCCTGTGGGAAACAGGACTTCTTTCTATGCAGTCAGTTCTGTCTTTTGATTATGACTATAATTGTCAGTGTCAGGATTGACCTGATTATGAAATGGTGACTGAATCCCAGCCCCTAGCCTGGAATCCATCACAGTTTACAACTCAGTTTCTCCCCAGTGCAGGCCCTGTGTTGCTGGGGGATTTGGCAAACGTGCTCTCTGACTAATCCACGTTCTGTTGCTCTGTCTGCCACTGACACCCTTGACACTGGCTTCTCGGGTGTGAGATGTGTCCTTTCCTCCTCCTGGCCCACACTCATACCTGTCATCTCACTCAGTGCCCGCCACTTGTAAACCTTTCCTGCCCATGGCTATGGAGGGTCTTCCTGGGGCCTAATTTGTAGTCGTGGCTGCATGGTGCCTTAGAGCCCTTGGATGACAAGACCACTGGAGCCAGTGGCTATGTCAGTTTCAAAACTCCCTTGTCTCCTAGAGGCCTGCTGATGTGGACCCTCAGGGTCTTTAAGCTTATCCCAAGTTTGAAGCCATTCACCTTAATTCTAAAAAATAAAAATAAAAAAACACCTTGCACATGATAAATGCTCAATACAACTTCACGGATTTGGATTAAATGTATCCTGGCCACTGGGGAAGGGAGAGGAAACCATAGGCATTGGCATCCACCCTCCAGGAGAACCTGCAATGTTAGGTCAATCTTAAAGAGGCTTTTCAACCATCTGCCAAGAAAGTTTAGTATAGGGCTAAGAACTAAAGAACACTTCAGTTTTCTTATTGTATTGTTCATGATCGGCTTTTGTATTTGAAAATTACTGGAATTTCTTCACTGTAAAATTCTTTGATTCAAAATACTTCTCTAAATCAATACTTCCCGATTTTTATTACTAAGAACAGTGGTTGGGATATGGGATATTTTGAGTATGATATGCTTTGGGAGTTAGCCAAATTGGGGATAGTAGAACAGCCTGAGCAGATGAAGTGCTTATTTTTTAAAAAAAAATCATTTTTCTCTTCCTGCGTTCAGATTTTAACAAGGACATTGAAAAGTGAGGTTTGATACACAGAATAGATTTTCTATGAAATTCTAAACTTCGGTCATTATAAGACATTAGTATTAAGCTGGGAATAGCAGGTAGTCCCATTTTTCTAAGAGCTTATTGGAAACCTTCCTTGGTTCATGTTGCTTCTTTCCTCTCACCACCCTGGCCTTCATTGAAAAGGCAGCTTTCCTAAAGCCCTTGAGATACCCCCTTTTTGAAAACAGCCTCTTTATCCTCTGAATCTGCATCAAGAATAATTATTACTCTATCTATACCTTATAGCATAATGTTCCTTGTCGATACAAGTTTCTCGAGGGCAGTGGTGCATTTGGTTCATCTTTGCATGTATTTCACAGTGAATTTTATACTGTATTTCATGTGGTAGGTACTCAAATATTTGTTGCATAAGTAGATGGAAATCTTACAACTAATTTTATAATTGATAGATTATTTCGGAAGATTTTGGGGGAGAACAGATTTTCAAGATCCCCAATAAACCATCATTTCCTTGTTAAATTTTACATACAGTAAAATTAATTTATCTGTATGTATGTTCAGTTTTACCACATGCATAGTTTCATGTAACCACTATCCCTGTCAGGACACAGAACAGTTCCATCAGCTTAAGGACTCTCACCATTTTCATTTTACACAGCTGACTGATAGTGGGCTGTGACGTCTGATCATGGTATCGCCAAATATTCATGCTCTGCGTTTATGTAATAGTTTCAAGTTTGCAGAGCAGATTTCTTTCCTTTCTTTGCATGCGAGTACTTCTAGTTCTAAAGCCGGATGAAGTACTTGCTTTGCCTCTGTATGAACCCACTTCATTGGAGTAAAGCGTTGGGGAAAGGATTTTTATGCAGTGAAATAATACTTCTCCTTTTCTTTTTTGTAGAAAAATGTCCAGCATATCCAACAGAGCTAGTATTCGCTCTGGACAATTCCTATGATATCACAGAAGAGAGCTTTAATAAAACACGGGACATCATCATTTCCATTGTCAGTGACCTTAACATCAGGGAAAATAACTGTCCCGTGGGAGCAAGAGTTGCAGTGGTTTCCTACCACTCAGGCACCAGCTATCTCATCCGGTGGTCTGACTACAATAGGAAGAAGCAGCTCCTCCAGCAGCTTTCCCAAATGAAATATGAAGACACCACAGAGCCCAGAGATGTTGGTAATGCAATGAGGTTTGTGGCCCGCAACGCGTTCAAGCGAACCTATGCAGGAGACAATGTGAGGAGAGTTGCTGTGTTTTTTAGCAATGGTCAAACAGCCAGTAGGTCGTCCATCATCACAGCCACCATGGAGTTTAGCGCCCTGGATATCAGTCCAACAGTCTTTGCTTTTGATGAGAGTGTTTTCCTTGAAGCTTTTGGGGTAAGAATTTCTCTTAGCAACTTCTTTATTTTTAAGATAGTGCTATTGTGATAGGGTAGGATAGGAGTGGTGGTAGTCAGGGAATGTATGTGGCCTCTTGAAAACTCCTTTACAGTTTTCACAGCTATATTGTTGTTAGTGTCTGTGAAATCCAATCCTGAATAATAACAGTCAACGATAACAGCGACCACATTTGCTTAGCCCCTGCCGCATGCCAGGCATGGTCACTAGCTTTTCGTACGTATTCATACATTCTCACAGCCCTCTGAGGTCAATGCAGCTGTCATCTCCATGTTAAAAATGAGGAAACTGAAGCAAGAGATTACTAGTGACTTAACTATGTACTACTACTAGGTGGCTAAATTGAGATTCGAACTCAGGTCTGTATGACATAAAGGACCATGAACCTGGTGCTCTACTAGCCTTCTACTGCTCTGGTGTTTCCCAGATTTGTCATCTGCTTGCTGTAGCTCATGGAACAGCTGACCTTACTCAGTGATGGAATTCAGTGATGATTTCTGCCGTATAAAGAGAAAGAACCTCTCTGTGACATGGAGAGAATCAATCTGTTCTAACACAGCCAAGCAGTTTTTGGAAATAGGAGCCACAGAGAGTCACAACAGACCCTGACAAAAAGGATTGCAAGAAGGCAAAGTCCTGTAGTTTTCCGTTTTTCTTTTCAAAATTTTTCTGCCCCCTTAATTTTTCTCTCTGGGGAAAATAAGTGATATTTCAGCTTTGAGGGAGGTATCAAATTCCGGAATATGAGAAATCTGAGTAGGACATCACGTTCAATCCTTACCTTTGATAGGACTGTGCCAAAGCCTCGGAATCCCCAGTGAAGAAGGGCCTTCAGTTGCTCTTGTTAACAAATCATTTTAAATTTGCATCATGTCTATAGAGAAAGTGACCCAGGAAGCGCTCTAGTTCTCACCACTCTGTTCTTACCAGAGTATAAGCCCGCATAGTCTTCCTGACCACATGTCATGCCTTGAGCAGTGCTCCCTTCAGTCATTCTTCATCCTTCTCTGCCTTCGCGCTCTTCTCCGCTCAGGACATCCTCCTCTCTGTCCCCTTCTCTCTCCTCCCTCCTTCCCATCCTCTTACGTCCTCATTGCTTCAACTCTGAAAGCACAGAGCTGCTACTCTTGGTGTCTGAGAGTGTCTGTTTCCCCACATACTTAACAACACTGGATTTTACCTATCGAGCTTTTTAAATGTTTGCCAGTTGGGTAGGTCATAAGAGTACCTTTTTTTATTTCTTCTAAAAAAAAAAACAGAATACATGTGTAAAACGTGCAGGTTTGTTACATAGGTGTACGTGTGCCATGGTGGTTTGCTGCACCTATTGATTGAACCATCCTCTAAGTTCCCTTCTCTAAACCCCTGAACTCCCAACAGGCCCTAGTGTGTGGTGTTCCTCTCTCAATGTCCATGTGTTCTCAAGGTTCAACTCCCAATTATGAGTGAGACCATGCAGTGTTTGGTTTTCTGTGTTAGTTTGCTGGGGATGATGGCTTCTAGCTTCATCCATGTCCCTGCAAAGGAGATGATCTCATTCCTTTTTATGGCTGCATAGTATTCCATGTGTGTATGTACCACATTTTCTTTATCCAGTCTATCATTGATGGGCATTTGGGTTGGTCCCATGCTTTTGCTATTGTAAATAGTGCTGCAATAAACATAACTCAGACTTACAGAGATTTAACCTGCCAAAACCTTTTTAAAAAATTTAGAAACGTCTAGAATATCAGTAGAGCTTTGCAAGTTTAAACTCCTCTTGAGACTGGATTCAGGATAAAAAGGTAAGGCAAACTCTCTCACCACTCCTATTCAATGTAGGAGAACTACAAAGCACTGCTCATGGGCATAAGAGAGAATACAAACAAATGGAAAAACATTTCATGCTCATGGATGGGAAGAATCAATATTGTAAAAATGGTCATACTGCCCAAAGTAATATATAGATTCAATGCTATTTCCATCAAGCTACTGTTGACTTCCTTCACAGAATTAGAAAAAGCTATTTTAAATTTCATATGGAACCAAAAAGAGCCCATACAGCCAAGACAAGCCTAAGCAAAAAGAAGAAAGCTGGAGGCATCATGATAACTGACCTCAAACTATGCTACAAGGCTACAGTAAGCAAAACAGCATGGTACTGCTACCAAAACAGATATATAGACCAATGGAACAGAACAGAGACCTCAGAAATAATACCACATATCTACAACCATCTGATCTTTGACAAACCTGATAAAAACAAGCAATGGGGAAAGGATTCCCTATTTCATAAATGGTGTTGGGAAAGCTGACTGCAGAAAACTAGAACTGGACCCCTTCCTTACACCTTATACCAAAATTAACTCAAAATAGATTAAAGACTTAAACATAAGACCTAAAATCATAAAAACCCTAGGAGAAACTCTAGGTAATACCATTCAGGACATAGGCATGGGAAAAGATTTCATGACTAAAATACCAAAAGCAATGGCAAAAAAGCCAAAATTGACAAATGGAATCTAATTAAACTAAAGAGCTTCTGCACAGCAAAAGAAACTATCATCAGAGTGAACAGGCAATCTACAGAATGGGAGAAAATTTTTGCAGTCTATGCATCTGACAAAGGGATAATATCCAGAAGCTGCAAAGAGCTTAAATTTACAAGAAAAAACATAAGGAACTTCATCAAAAGTGGGAAGGATATGAACAGATACTTCTCAAGAACATTTATATGGTCAACAAATTTATGGGGGAAAAAAAGCTCATTACTACTGATCGTTAGAGAAACGCAAATCAAAACCACAATGAGATACCATGTCACGCCAATTAGAATGGCAATCATTAAAAAGTCAGGAGACAACAGATACTGGAGAGGATGTGGAGAAATAGAAATGCTTTTACACTGTTGGTGGGAGTGTAAATTTGTGCAACCATTATGGAAGACAGTGTGGCGATTCCTCAAGAATCTAGAAATAGAAATACCATTTGACCCAGCAATCTCATTACTGAATGTATATCCAAAGAATTATAAATCTTTCTACTATAAAGAAAGATACATGCACACATATGTTTATTGAGGCACTATTCACAATAGCAAAGACTTGGAACCAACCCAAATGCCCATCAGTGATAGACTGGATAAAGAAAATGTGGTACATATACACTATGGAATGCTATGCAGTCATAAAAAAGCATGAGTTCATGTCCTTTGCAGGAACATAGATGAAGCTGGAAACCATCATTCTCAGCAAACTGACCCAAGAACAGAAAACCAAACACCATATGTTCTTACTCATAAGTGAGTGTTGAACAGTGAGAACACATGAACACAGGGAGGGGAATATCACATACCAGTGCCTGCTGTGGGGTGTGGGGAGCTAGTGGAAGGATAGGATTAGGAGAAATACCTAATATAGATGACAGTTTGATAGGTGCAGCAAACCACCATGGCATGTGTATACCTATGTAACCTGCACGTTCTGTACATGTATCCCAGAACTTAAAGTATTTTTTAAAAATTCTATGTCTGATTTTTCTCTATAGCATATATCTTTTTAAAAATTACCCATGATACTTCCTTTTGTGAAATTGGATGAAATGGACAGAGTTGTTAGGTACTCACATTCTCCTAACGTATTTTATTTTTTTATTAGTTTTTGTATTATTATTTAGTATTAGTATTATTTATTAGTTTTGTTGCTGGAAGAGACCCTCTGTCTACTATAGATTGATTCCCCCCACCCCCCTTTACCACTTTATTCCAAACAGGAGAGAGAAATAAAACAACTTTCTGACCTAGCTTTTCAGTTACTGCTTCATTTCTTGGCTCCCATGTAGCAATCTCCTAGGGAAGAAAAAATTGTCTATATTTTCTGTGTCCAGTGACTCTCCTAGCATTCTTTCTTGAGATAATCCTAGTCACATTTTGATTCCTACTATTCTCCTGGTACTGCTCATATCAAGGTCCCCTCTGATCTTCATGTTTCTGCATCCAGTGGTTGATTCTGTCTGCAGCTCACCAGACGTATTTGCAGTATACAACATTGTTGATCCTGCCCTTCTCTGGGAAACATTTTCTTTTCTTTTCTTTTCTTTTTTTTCTTTTTCTTTTTTTTTTTTTTCTTTTGGCTGACTTTCAGCATATCCGATCTTCCCGGTTTTTCTCCTACCTCATTAATTGTCCCTTCTCAGACTAGTTTTCCAATTTTGCATCATCAACTTGGCCTCAGAATGTTGGCATTGCCCAAAGCCCATTCCTTAGCCCTCTTCTCTATCTTTATGCAATCTCTTGACACTGTCATCCAGACTCAGGGTTTTAAATATCCTCCATGATATGTCTATCTCCCATCTGGACTGCATCTTTGAACTCCAGATTCATACACACAGCAGCCTACTCAACACTTCCACTTGCATATCTAATGGATATTTCAAACTTAACCACATCGAAAATGAAGCTTCTAATTTATTTCCAAAATTTGCACAACATACAGCCCTCTCCATCACAGCTAATAAAAATCCCGTTCTTCTACTTGAAGTTATCTATGATTCCTCACCTCTTCTTAGATCCAGAATTCTTAACTTTAATGTGTGTGTATATGCATTTGTACATATGTATATACAGTTTGTGTGCATGCATGTATACATAAGTGCATATATGTACATATATACACTGACACGTACATATGTGCAATAAAGTATATTAGTACTTAGTAAATATAGCATTCATTTAAGTACTAGTATTAAGTATTGATATAAGTACTAATCTTGTTATTATTCGTAAAAAATATATATCCAGAATTTGACCACTTTGTAGTATCTCTGCCTTTGACACCTGATCCAAACCACCATTATCTTCTGCCTACACTGGGCAATAATTTTTTCCTTAGTGACCTTGCATTCATTCTTGCCCTGCTACAGTCTATCTGAACACAGCAGCCAGAGTAATCTTTAATTAAACTCTAAGCCATCAGGTTATTCTTCTGCCTGAAACTCCAATTTCTCATTTCTCTGAGTTAAAACTAAGGTCTTTACCATGGTTTGCAAGGCTCTAAATGATCTACCACCAAACTCTCTTAGAAACTCTCTGATCTCATCTTCTCCTTGTTCTCTCTCACTCCATCCCAGGCATGCTGTCTTCCCTACTGATGTGCACACAAGCTAGGCACACCCCCTGCTTCCCCAGAGCTTTGCCCTGGCTATTTCCTATGCCAGAATTTTTTTTTCCCAGATATAACACCTTCCCCCTCCCCCTCTGAATTTTTGCTAAAATGTTATGTTATCAGTGGGCTCTACTTAAATGTTATCGCAGATTTTCCCATCCCTATTATCCTGCTTTGTTGTTTTTTTTTTTCTATAAAAGTATCACTTTCCAACATTCTGAATAATTTACTTTTTTATCATGTTTATGATATAGCTCTCCCCACTAGAATGTAAGATAGAGGTTTATCACTATTATTATTATTAGACGAAGTCTTGCTCTGGCACAGTCTCGGCTCACTGCAACCTCCCCCTCCCAGGTTCAAGTGATTCTCCTGCCTCAGCCTACTGACTAGCTGGGATTACAGGCACACGCCACAACACCTGGCTAATTTTTGCATATTTAGTAGAGATGGGATTTCACCATGTTGACCAGGCTGGTCTTGAACTCCTCGTGATCCTCCAACCTTGGCCTCTCCAAGTGCTGGGATTACAGGCGTGAGCCAAGTGACCAGCCAGGATAGAGGTTTTATCTGTTTCATTCATTTCCATATCCCCCAAACCTAGAACTACACCTGTAACATTGTAGGCATTCAATAAATATTTGTTGAATGAATGAGTGAGTGAATGAATGAAGGAAGGAAGGAAGGATGGAAGGAAGGAAGGAAGGAAGAGCATGGGGTTTTCTCCTACGAATAAACTTCCTTGGTTTACCATCTCAACATCTAGTTTTTACATGGGGGACCGACAAGGTCAAATACAAAATAATACCAAAGCATCAAATTGCATAAAAATAGAAAGTAGGAATGTAGTAAATAGTTTCTAAACATATGGCTGGAATGATTATAAATATGTTCAAATGTTGATTCAGCATTTTACAGAAAAACAGAGGGTTTGGCTTTTCTAGCCCTTTAATTTGTTGAGGGATAAAGAGAAGAAGCATGAACATCTTTGTTGATGGAGAGATAGCCTCCTCACCACCTGGGAATGATGATTTCTTTCATAATAAAAGTATCTGTTTTACTCACATAGAGTAAATGCCCAATAAAGAGTTATTGACTCACTGAATGAATGAATGAATGAATACTATATATTACCCATTGCAGTGAGTATTAAAGTATTTTAAAAAGTAACCAGGAGATGATGTTATATCAGGCAGTGTACCACCAGGAATTTTGAATGAAATTCTGTCCACTGCTTTCTGAAGTAGACTTTTAAGTGGAATTTGTGATTGAGAATGTCCCCTTGACAACTGAAAGATGTGCCGTCTTCCTGATAGGGTGGACTGGAAATAGTTGGGATCATTACCCACAGAGGTGAAAGAAAACTTGGGAATATACAATTTCTGCAGGGCCCAACTCCAAAAGCTGGTATGTGGTGTATAATCAGGTGGTGCATAATCATTTTAGTCCAGACTTGCAGGCGTAAAAATAAGAGATTTTAATACTTGCCCCAGTGAGTGAACCTGGTCAGGTTATCTCATGGCAGTTTTCTCATCATCATCTAGGGATGATGATACTTGTTCTATACATATGTTTTTGGGTAATGTTTAGGATAAGCAGGGGATCGTGTGCATGTGTATGTGAACATGCACTGAATGGAGCAAAGAGCTGTAATGCAAGGTAATAGTGATTAGTTGGGTGTTTTTAAAACGAATCCTCAAAGTGGCTGCACAGTGGTTTCCTAATAGTGACTTAAAAAATGAGCAAACATGCATTCACTTCTTTTCCAATGCAGTTTGACAACACTGGAGCATTTCAGGTGATTCCAGTTCCTTCAAATGGGGAAAATCAAGCATTAGAAAGACTTCGGTACTGTACACTTTGCTATGGTAAGACTAATGAGAATAATTGACCATGCTGATGAGCCTAAATGCCTTCTAAATGAATTATTGAATGTGGCTTTGTCCAAAGATTTCTATTTTTAATCATAGGTTCTATTTTCAGTTTTCTGGTTTTTCAATACCGTATGTCATGGTTTCAATGTCTGAAATGTTTGGAGTTTTCATAGAATGTGAAAATTGGTTTAGAAAATTATCCCAACTGATGTTGCATTTCTTGGGGACAATTGGGTAGTTTGTACCAGAAGTCTCTAAAATATTGAAAATATTTTCTAAAGGAGTTTGGATATGACTTGTACACTGCAGATATAGGTACTACCTACATCTGCTTTTAATAAAGCCCTTCCCATATTGTCTGCTAGTGCCCAGAGAAATATTTGGACATTGAAAATTTCTCATTAATTTAAAATTTGTGAAATCAAGGAGGTACTGATGGAATTATAATTCTTGTTAATTCGTCACTGAATCACTTGAAGATCTCAAACAAGTATCTTGGTGTGTCAATGTTGAACCAATGATGTGTCTCTCTGTGCGTTTTCAGATAAATGTTTTCCAAACGCTTGCATTCAAGAGACATTCTTACCTGAAGATTCATACGTGGATGTAGCCTTTCTCTTAGACAATTCTCGGAATATAGCAAATGATGAGTTTAAGGCTGTGAAAACCTTGGTGAGCTCAGTAATTGACAACTTCAACATTGCTTCAGACCCTTCAATCTCAACCATTGGTGACAGGATTGCCTTGTTGAGCTACTGGGACAGTTCCAGGAGAAATATGGGTACAGTAAAGACAGAGTTTGATTTTACCACTTATAACAACCAGCTCCTAATGAAGAATCACATACAGACTTCCTTCCAACAGCTAAATGGAGAAGCCACAATTGGTCGAGCCCTACTCCGGACCACTGAAAATCTCTTTCCAGAAACACCTAATCTAAGAAAACATAAGGTCATCTTTGTGATCTCAGCTGGAGAAAATTACGAGAGAGAAGAATTTGTCAAAATGATGGCTTTGAGGGCCAAGTGTCAAGGCTACATCATATTTGTGGTTTCTCTGGGCCCTACACGTAAGGGTGACATGGAGGAGCTGGCCAGCTACCCGCTTGATCAACACCGGATACAGCTTGGGAGAATACATAAACCAGATCTGAATTACATTGTGAAGTTCTTAAAGCCATTTGTATACTCAGTAAGGCGTAAGTTATTATTTCTTTGTTTTTCTTTGTTTTAATAAGCTAGTGCTTGTTAATATTATTGATAACCTATTTTTGTGTCCATAGCTAATCTAAACATAATATATGAATTAGATGGTGAGATGGGGACAGGAATGGATCATATGCTGGTTATACCCTGTTTATATCCAGGTCACAAAATGGCAAGGCCTGAGGCCTTTTTTCGTGGTAGTGTGTCTTGTAGCCAAACTCTCAGCACTAGAAAGCACCGAGTGGCCGGAGGTCTTCTGAGTCATACTTGCTCAAGATGTTCTAGCAGCAGTTAGGTGATTTCTAGATGAACATTAAGGTAAAAGTTTTACTTGCTATACCTGTTTTATTTTCATCTTTGACATACCCTGGAGACCTGTGTGAGGATGTAAAGATAGCAGAATCCTGGGTAAACATATCACCTAGGAATCTTGTTAAAATACAGAATGTTCTTACTAAGGAGTCTAGGGTGAAGCCTGAGATTCTACAGTTCTAACAGATGGTGCAGTAATGTCAATGCTACTGGTTCATGGATCATACTTTGATTAGCATGGCTCTAAGCCAGTGCACTACAAAGGTTTGCTTACTGGATGAGGGCCAGGCCACAAATTAATGTGTGAAGAAATAAATACACAAATTGAGAGTAAGCATCTAGAAACTTTTAAGGCAATTTGACATTGATTGCTGCAGCGTACAAATGCATGATCAGGGAACTTTGTCTCATTAAACAGCAGGCAGACCAAAAGTGTCAGTCTGCAAAGAACTAGAAATAAGAATACTCTACCACAGATGGTTTGGGAAAACACTCCTCTAGAGCAATTGTTCTCAATAGGGCACAGTTTGCCCCAGAGGACATTTGGAAATGTCTGGAGGCATTGTTTGGCAGTCACAACTTGGGAATGCTACTAGTATCAAGTCAACAGAGGTAAGGGATATTGCTAAACATCCTACTTCACAGGACAGACTCCCCATCCCCAACCCCCGCCACCTCAACAAAGAATAATACATCCCCAAATGTAAATAGCACTGAGGTTGAGAAACCCTTCTCCAAAAGATCCCACAGAATCAGAGCTAAACCTTTTCTTTCTGGAAATCTGACAGGTTTAGAAGTAGACTCGGCTGGAATCAGTTCCACCACCCTACAATCCCAGTTTCCTTGCTATTCAAGGGATCTCCCAACACTACCAGTGATAACGTCTTGAGCATTCATTCTTCATTGCAGGGAGAGCTCCACCTTTCTCCTGTGAGTCATGTTCCATTAAAGAATCCAATTGCCCTCTTGGAAATACTGTGTTATTTCTTTACATCTAAGATGCCCTCAATTGTATAGTGTAAAGGAAAAAAATGTTTTCAATTACATGTTGATACCAACTTTCCTATTAGAGCATTTTATTTTATAGCAATTGAAAGAGTTCTTTTGGATGTATAGAACATATATCACTCCCTTGCAGGCATAAAAAGAAAAATCAATGTGAAATAGACAGGTTAAGGCATTTCTAAAACAACTTCTCATTCAAAATTTGACTCTTGCGAGCTACTTCTTGGCAGTCATTGGTATCCATTTTTTTCTATGCAGTATTGTTCTTTGTGCCATTAAGACTGATGATAATGCAGCATTTTAAAGAGACTATAAAACAACTCAAAGCTAGTCATGCTGGGCTGTTAAGTGGCTTTGCAATTACGTAGCACCTGAGAAGTGTTAAACATACCCAATTCACTGCCTTCCCACAACCACTTGGTTTGCAGGAGTAGAAAGACTCCTCTGCTGATATTTATGGGAATGTTTCAAACTGCTGTCCCCAGTTCTACAAGTTTTGGTGCTGGCATGTTTGCTGTTCCCACGGGCGCAGTGACCACTGCATCACAATTCCTGTCCGCCCAACAGTAAGTGGCAGATGAAATTAATCAGAAGATACATTTTCATTTTAGAGAAATAGAAAAAAGGGAAAATATGCTCATCTTAGAATTAGAAAATGTGATTACTCTAAAACTACAGACATTATCTGGGATATTTTCATAGATCCTTTGATCATTCAATAACTGAAGGCCTTCTTTAACTAAAATCTCTTATTTTCCTGAATGGGATAGGGATAACATACTTCCGAATATTTTAAAATTTACAGAACAACATAGGAAGGGGATAAATAGGCATATTATTTAGACCAGTAAGGTAAAATCTTGTCTGTGATTCTTTTCCTCATAGAAATCAGTGTTAATGGGTGCAGAAGCACAGAAATTATATCATGTAATGAAATATTACCATGTCTTTGTTTGATCTGTTAGCATAAGTCTGGGTGAAAAACCTTGATGAATCAGATTAGAGTATTTCTTAGATTCTGTTAGCCTGAGCATGTGGAAATCATGTGTCCCTGCATCACAATTAGCCCTTAGACCAGGCGTTCCCAAACTACGGGCCCACAGCACGCATGCGGCCCCCTGAGGCCATTTATCCGGCCCCCCGCCGCACTTCAGGAAGGGGCACCTCTTTCATTGGTGGTCAGTGAGAGGAGCACAGTATGTGGTGGCCCTCCAATGGACTGAGGGACAAGTGAACTGGCCCCTGTGTAAAAAGTTTGGGGACGCCTGCCTTAGATGAACAATTTGAGGAGGTCTGTTTCCATGACCCTGGTAATCCTTTGGCTACTAAAACACTCTGAGATCAAATTTTGAGTACTATTTCTAACTGCTATTTTCTGTTTTCACCCCAGCCAAATGTTGCTGAAATATGCTCGTGACATTAATTGCTTCAAGAGGATTCCTGTTGGGATTCTCTTTGCCTGGCAAACATCATTTCCAGTTTTAAAGTCTAACTATAACTTTGTTCTCTCAATAGGCGGATTCAATCAGTACCCACCATCAATGCTTGAGGATGCCTGTAGACTCATCCGTTTAGAAGGAGAGTATAATCAAAGTGATGGTTTCCAGTGAGTTGGAAAGCTCTTATATTTACAAGTCACTGTTAATTGGCTGATGGGCATATAACTGGTCGATAACACGTTATTAGGTTGAGGATGCCAGCAAGGTCTCTGAAGTAAAGGCTTTTTATGTATCCATTTCCCATAGCAGAAATTACATTCAAGTAGGATTTCCAGTTTGATGTTTTTTTTTATAACATTGTAAGCTTTGTTACAATTTTGCCTTTAAATTTATGGTTTCTTCAGAAATTCCTGTGCTGAAATTTACCCCACAATAAAACCCACAATTTATCCTCAGTCCACCTCAATCTCTGTTCTCATTTCTCCTCACCATGCGTTCTGGCCACGCTGAACTCTTGTCTGCCTTGTGTGAATTGTTCCGTTTCACACTACCTGTGCCCCTTGCTCCCGTGGTGAAACCCTAGCCATCTTTCATGACCCACATTGAAGCTGTCTCCTACTGGAAGCCGATGTTTGCTCCCCATCAAAACCCATAGTAATTGTTTATAGCACCGCTGAGGCACTTACTACAGTCTACCCAAGGTCTTATCTTGCTGAAGTCTGAGGCCACATATAATTCATGTTTCATCCCCAAAAGTTAGCATAAAAGACTCCACAATATAATTGCACATATAATTTTCCTTGATATTGTATTCTAAATAAAAATATAACTAATTAATCTGAATGAATCTTTGCCCTCAAACTGAGTGAAAATGGCCCATCTTGGTTGGTTTCTGCTTTTCTGTGTGTTTCATCGAGCTTAGATCCCTGACTAAAAGCCTGTGAAAGCCCAGATTTGGGCCCATAATCACTCCATCTTCTCAACCTGCAATTAAACAAAAGAGCTTCTCAGAGCATATAAAGTCTCTTTGCTATATCCGAGAGCAAAATGGAAAAGTGAGTTCTCTGGAATTCATGCAAGCACGTACTCCTCTCATGTCAGATTTCATTTACTTGGTAATTTTTACAGAGAAGTGTCTAGCAGCCAGCACCTTCTGAAGGACATTGTGGTGCTGATCTTATGTGAAGCAGTGTTTCCCAACCTTGAATAAATCATAAAATCATTTACAAGGAAAATCAATTCCTATAGGACAGCAGGCAAAATATTATAACATTATTTAAACATTTGTAAACATAAATCCAGCTGTAAATATCATATACTTACAGTTCTTATGCAGCTATTAAACCAAAAGAAGTTAATACGTCAAATCCAGACAAACTCAGTAAGCGAAAAATTTTCAGCACTAACTTAATGCAATGGATAATTCTTCTTTTTCAAAATGGAATTTTTAAAAACCAAAAAAATGGCACATGTTGGTAAAATATATAAAATCTGGTACATGCTGCAGAAGAATACATACAGCTTGCCTACTCCGTTACATGATGACATGATTCCCCACCACATATCTTCATCTGTACTAGTGCAAAATTATCGTTCACGCAGTGTGCCATCACACCGGATATCATTTGATTTTCTTTTGGTGCGAACATATTATTCATGTATTATATCTGGCTTTTCTTCCTCTGCTCATTAACTCTCAACGGTTAAAGTAATATCACTAGATACCAAACAGCAGTATCAAGTGCAAATGCAGACATGGACACTGAAATTGCATCAAATTGCATAATCAAGAATAAACTTCTCTTGAATATGCTTTCTATCACCATCCAAACAAAAACACAAAATTCTCAAATGATCACAGAGAACTCTTAAACTGAGATGATTATAAAGGCAGACACTGTTTTAAAAGGCACTGATATGGGTTATGTTTTATACAATATTTTCTCACAGCAGTGCTTGGTAGATTAAGTGATTATTTTCTGCCTTTTCCATGGTGATGGTATCAATCTGAGATATAATATGATTGTTCCAAATAGCCTGTGAGTTTCTTTTCACTTATCTAAAACTCTGTACATGCTGAACATGGTGGCTCACACCTGTAGTCTCAGTAGTTTGGGAGGCTGAGGTGGGAGGTTTGCTTGAGCCCAGGAGTTCAAGACCAGCCTGGGCAACATAGCAAGACCCAATCTCTACCAAAAATTAAAAATTAGCCTGGCATGGTGGCATGCGTCTATGGTCCCAGCTACTCAGGAGGCTGAGCTGGGAAGATCGCTAGAGCCCAGGAGGTCGAGGCTGCAGTGAGCTGTAATTGCACCACTGTACTCCAGCCTGGGTGACTGTCTCAAAAGAGCACGACCCTGTCTCAAAAGAAACAACAAACAAACAAACAATAAAACTCTGCACAAATCAAGGTTGGTTTCCAAAGTAGTACGTCATAGGCTCTAAGCAGATGTGAGAAAAGATAGAATAAGTAGACATTTTTCATCAGAGTTTTAAAAAATAATATGTATAATGAATCTCAATGAATTATTGGATTGAAATGGATTTATATTTTCACCACCCAATTTGTTTTTTAAGGAGATAATTAAATAAGTATGTTAAATGTTGAGGATGTTTTATTTGCCTCCTTCTCTGAAGTTATCCAGCCTCGCCTGAAGTATTTTCTTGTTTTCCCTCTAGATTTGTTACTGAGCTACAGGAGGTTTTCTCAGAAGAGAATGGCTTCACTGGCCAAGAATTAAATTCTGGGAGAGAATCATCTTTTGTAAAGTTAGAGGACAATGGAAGTGAATATTTGGTTTACCTTCCGAGCCAAATGTTTGAGCCACAAAAATTAATGTTCAATTATGAAAAGAATCAAAAATCACCAGAAATTGCAAGTCTCACTTCTGGTAAGAAAATGAAAAGTCATAAAGGGCCGGGCGTGGCAGCTCACACCTGTAATCCTAGCACTTTGGGTGGCCGAGGTGGGTGGATCACCTGAGGTCAGGAGCTCAAGAAAAGTCATAATGGAAATGTTTAAATAGCCTTGATCTTCATCTTTTAACACTAGTAGAAAATTAAAAAGTTAAGGCTCGTTTCTAAAGCAACTTATTTTTTTAAGTTCATTATGGTAGATACAACTTTCTATTGACATTGAAGAAGTGAATGGTGACAGGCACTGCTAGGGAGATCACTGATAGAAGCTCTCAGAAATGTCCCTGATATTTTTACCAAACTTAAGATTTCCCTAGAATCCACCGTTTAGAAGGTTAGCATGACGTAGAAGGAAACCATACAGAGAACATCAGAGCAAAGGAGGTATCAAAATGACTTTTAAATGTTGGCCTGACCAGTGTCCCTGTCCCAGAATTTGTGATAATATGAGAAAGTGTGTTTTACTTTTGTGCTACCCAGAAATGATAGAATAGAAACTCCCCTGATGCGTACTCTATACATTTTAATGGCAAAGCAACAACTTTTGTAAAAATGTAATAATTTCAAACAAATCACATACAAAGGATTAAGTCTGTATTTTCATTAAAAAAATGTGAGGGGAGGTGGGAATGGTTAGTGAGTATGGAAAAAATAAAGAACAGGAAAGAACTACTATTTGATAGCACAACAGGGTGACTACAGTTAATTAAAAACACTTAAAAATAACCGAAAGGTGTAATTCAGTTGTGTTGTAATACAAAGGATGAGTGATGATTCTCAGCATTCCATGATGAGAATGAGGTACCCCTTTGTCCATGCTGTGAGTATTATACACTGCATGCCCATATCAAAACATATCATGTACTAAATATACCCACCGACTCTGAACCCACATATAAATTTATTTTTAATTCCAAAGAGACTATTCAGCCATTCCACCTATGCATCTGGAATCTTCCAAAATGCTTGTTTGGCAGAATGCCAGCATTTTAAGCATTGTTCCAAAAGCGTAATATGGTAGTTAGAATACGTACGTATAAAAGAAAAGGGGGCCAACTTTGTACTATAATATCCATTCTTAGTAGCTTCCCTGGATGTATTTTTTTTTTCTTCGGTTTAACACATCTCCACAACTATTTCTAAAATATAAATATTTGAACCTTATCTTTAAAACAGCTAAACTTACCTTTGTAGAAGCTACAATTAAGGATAAAAAAAATCAATTATTAGTTGAAAAATAAGCATTTTAGCTTAAAAAAAGAAATGGTGCAGTAAAACTGGATATATGTGGTACCATGGCATTAAGACATTCAAATGGGTATTTTTTCTTTTTAGTGGATGTTAATTGTGCATGTTCATTTTAATAATATGTGAATTACAGCAGCCTTCAAGGCACAAGAATTTCTTATGGTTTAGTTTAAAAAGGGAAAGAGAAGAGGTGTTTTGGCAGAGTGTTAGAGTATCAAATTGTCATTTGTGATAGCTAGTTAAGCATTCCAAGTCTGGTAATTTAGAAGCATGAGCCTTCCAGGAAAGACAAATATGACTGGATATGAAAGAAAGGAAGGAAGGAAGAGCATCTCTGCAGCCATTGCTAAGGACAGGTGTTCAGTATAAAAGAAAGACTTTTCATTACTTTTTATTTTTATTTTTTTTTAGCTCTCTGAGAATCAAGATACGTATAGTTAGTGTAAGGTCCCATTTGGCTGAAGAAATCATTGTTCATAGCTCTAGCAGGGAAAAAAATGTAAATCCTACCCCACCCAATTTCTCTTGCAGTGAATTGAAGTATGCTGAGAGTTCTGGAGATGATTATGTCAGGTTGGGATAGCCTGGAAACACTGAACATTTCAGATGGAAGGATCATGTGTCTTTTTTATCCTTTAAAATAAATCTGAGTCTCAGATCCTCAGTGTTTTCTAGGATCTTCGTGCTATTCTTTTCTTTCTTGCAATCATTTTTCGCCAGTTGTAGTTCAGATATTTTATTCAGTGACTCAAACGAGCTTTGATAAGTTAGATGTATGGCACAAATAAAAGGTTGGTAACATTCATAAGCACCTCCATATGCTGTGTTTGTTACCCATTTATAATGTCGTTCTTATGGCTGATGGCTGATCTTTCTGCCCTTGAACTGAGAGGCTGGGAAAAGTCAGGAATCTTAACCAGTTTAAGAAATTTATAGTTCCTGGAGTCCTGTGGGCTGGCAATGAGTTGTGTAACACCCTCTTTCGAAAGAAGTGCAATTACTATCTTCCTTCCTATGGCTCTTTCTCTGCTTCTCCCCATCTGCTCTGATTTGAATTTAACTCATCTTCAATTCTGTCACCTTTCCTGGCCCTTCTATTACTTAGAGCAGCCTAAGGACAACCTATATTAAAATGATCTAGAAGCTCATTGTAAGCACAGATTCCTAAGCCCTCTTGATAACTACTGTTTCATATTTAGGAGTATGCATGAGGAGGAGAAAGCTACAAACTTTGTAAAAACTGTAGGTAATTTTTGTATGCCCTCAGGCTTGAGATCATCTCTGTCCGTGGTTCTCAAGGCGTGGTTCCTACACAAACAGCATCAGCATCACCTGGGAACTCATTAGACTTGCAGATTCTCAGCAATTGTCCCAGACTACTGAATGAGAAATTCTGGGAGCAGGGCTCAGCAATCTGGGTTTTAACAAGTAGCCGTGATTCTGTTGTAGGCTGAAGTTTAAGAGCCACTGCACATTTGTCCATTTTGGTGTGCCAAATTTCATCTGTGCTCTCAATGGAGCTGAAAATAATTGGCTATCTAGAATCAGAGAATAGAAATGAGAATTTAGGTTTCTAAAGAGTTCCAGGTAAACTAGGTTATAATTTTATCTTATTCAAGAGCATCCATCTATTGATCCAACATCTATCTGGCAAAACCTGTTTAAAATCTAAATATGTAGGGATTATCTAGAGATACAGGCTTTTTGAACATAACATCTGCAATCTAAAAATCCCTTGCAACATGCAGTCCCTTCTAATTATGTACCAACAAAATACACTTTGTTCTTTGAAAGTATGTAATTTTAAAATGGGTAGTTTAATTCTAATTAAATTGCAACTATTGGCCCACTGGCGAGCCTTGCACTTTCATCAAATATGCTGTATTATCCTTGCAGATGTTTTCTTGTGAATTTTTTTTGAATGCTGTATTAACCAGTACTTAAGATACAGCTAACCCACTTTCAGAATTAAAAAAACAGGATAATTTGTAATGCATTTTAAATACCAACCCTAACTCAGCCTAGGGCTTGCTCCCAGCTTTAAGCAGCCCCAGACCTTAGGATAACTTCAGCTGATACTCTTTTCAATGAAATGTGCACCTTCAGACTGGAGTTATGCTTAAGGGAGTTTGCACAGGCTTTGTTTTTCTTTTTCATTTTTCTAACTTTAATCTTATTCTGACTTATAGATTGTTTTGTTTTTAAAGCCAATTTATTTTGGCTTTGAATTAATCATAGGATAATAGAACTGGAAGGGTATTAGTGATGACCTGGTAAAAACTCACGTGGGAGCAGTTCTACCCTACCCCACCCCCAGGGACATATTGCAATGACTGGAGACATTTTTTATTGTCAAAACTGGAGGACACTACTGGCATCTAGTGAATAGAGGTTGTTGCTAAATATTCTCCAACGCGCTGGACAACCCCTCACAACAATGAATTATCAAGTCACTCTTAAAGGAAATGTTGTTTTAGAAGAAACCTCATGTCCCAAAGTTTACAGAATTTTCAGACTCACTGGACAGGCTCTCTACCTCTACACCTGTCCACTCTTTCCTCATTACACATCCAAGATTCTACTATATATATATATTTTTTACAAATGATAAAGGTACTATTATACCATATAAAATTCAAATACCAAGTTTCACATCAAACAATCTAGCAAATCAAGTTATATTTAATGCAGAATATGTTCTTTTGTTTTTCCGTGGGCATGTAAGTTGACAGTTTTTTTTAATTGCATGTCCTGCTTTTCACATGATATTATGTCACAACATTTTCTATATTGCTGTAAGCTTCATACTGATTTTATAAGTGTTTTCATAATATTCGTTGTAATGAATGAATGCATGTATTTGACCATTTACTTTTTTTTTTTTAACACTTAGCTTGCTTCTAATTTTTGCAGTCATGTATCAAACTTGAATGTGTATTTTTACTTGGGCTAAATTTAAATCTGCACTGGAATAAAATGCAGCCGTATTGGCTTCTGAGTCATCCAGGGAATATCAGCTGAATGTTTTGCAATCCTGTCAGTACACTTTTCAAAAATGAAATCAGCAGCAGAATTGCAGTCATGACTGGATTTTACTAACATGTTTTATGAAATCATTAAGAAATCTTGGCCAGGCGCAGTGGTTCACACCTGTAATCCCAGCACTTTGGGAGGCTGAGGCGGGCAGATTACAAGGTCAAGAGATCGAGATCATCCTGGCCAACATGGTGAAACCCTATCTCTACTAAAAATACAAAAATTAGCTGGGCATGGTAGCTACTCGGGAGGGTGAGGCAGGGGAACTGCTTGAACCCAGGAGGTAGAGATTGCAGTGAGCCGAGATTGTGCCACTGCACTCCAGCTTGGTGACAGAGTGAGACTCCACCTCAAAAAAAAAAAAAAAAAAAAAAAATCTCAACCATCATGTTGCTCTTGGTGGAATAAACTGAGTCTCCCATTACTTCATTTTAAGCTGTAGACTGAGATGGTTACATTTGCTTTAGCTTGGCGATTTGTTATAAATATTGTCATTATAATTTTGGTTGTCTTCCGTGAAGGTTTCACATTTGAACAAGACTAATGTAAACTGAGGGTTCGGAGTAAGTGGACTACCTGAATTCAGATGTACACTGACATTGCTTCTGTATGTTTTATGCAATCATCTGTTGCAACTAACGAATGTTCTCGAGTGTTGGTGGCATTTTATTTTATGTGATCCTTTCTAATG